ACTCTTTCCAGGGAAGAAAGACGTCGACGCAGAAGAGCGACGCAGAAATATCGAACTGCACACGCCACAAGGTGAAAACTTCGCAAAAATACTTGGAAATTATCTAAAAATCTCGATTACTATCTTACACCACGACAAATACCGGTATTTTATACCCAACACGCGAATTTCCTTCCTATGCAAACTTCTTGACAGCTCCATTTTAATTATACAATATTCCTCGACTTCTTTTCCAAATAATCCTACTTCAATCGATATTTACAATTAAATTATACTGAAAATATTATTCGAAGGAACAATTCCTGGATAATTAAAATTAATTAATCTTTTTATTTATTCTCCTCGATGAACCGATATTTTAAATGTCTTCCTTAAATTATTTAAGTCACGTCATACTGTTTTTCTCGCCAAGTTTCGACTTTAACGCTGAAACTACCGATCTATAACGAGCACCTAAACGTAGTGAACACGAATGATAACGATCATGATGGCATAAATAAATAAATAACTACGTGTAATGGCGTTTGCGTCTTCAATGAAAGTTACCCCTAGTTTTCTCGAAAGCAGCTAACTATTTTCAGAGATCGCGAAAATTAAATATTTCAATGTTTCAATTTCGATCTCTTTAATTTATCGTTATCGTTATCGTTATTCATCGAGATGTTATTTAAATAATTATTATTCGCGATTCACAGAGAAAGGGTTCGAGTAGAAGCTTTCAACTTAGCCTTCGCAGAGTTGCGCAAGCTTCTGCCAACTTTACCACCAGACAAGAAGCTCTCTAAGATCGAGATCCTCCGACTGGCTATCTGCTACATCGCCTATTTGAACCACGTCCTCGAGGCCTGAACCGACCAGGAATACACTCTATTTTTGCAGAATATAACCCGCACAGTGCCATCCGGCATGGCACTGCAGTCGCACCAAAAGAAAGTATAAATCTTTCCAGTTTTAATATTTTAATAATACACGTGATCCTCCTAGATACTCATCTCCTAGATAATCCGCCGAATTCACGAAGACCTGTACTTAATAATCGGAAATCGGCGTCTGATTCCTATCAATGCGATGCTCGTATCTGCGAATGTGAAATTACTGTATGAAATTAATACGAAACGCTGTGTTATCCTTATCAACGCAGAAACTCTCGCAGAAATTTGTATATTTACTGTAAGATATTTTATTCCCGTTCTCCGTGATTTTGACCGACCATGTAAAATAAAGGTAACCACGCAACGATTCGAAAGCTTCGCCAGACATTTCCAAAGCGCTGTACTTCCTCCTGAACTGTTCTCCCTTCAGATATTTCGTTGCAAAGCGATCGACACTCGCCGTACCACATCTTGAATAACAATTTTTTAATTTTTCGTTGAAAACCCTGTGTTTAGCGACGTCGCTCTGGTTACTTGACTTTTTCACTTTTCTTTTAACATATATATTTCTCGATATTTTCCCTTCTTCCGTTAAATTTCTCTCCTTTTATTTTTCCACCTGCGGGGTCAAGAAACCGGTAGGTTTTCGTTGCGTCAGGATATATTTAGCGTTAATTTCGTTTTAATACCGATTTTTCATAGAAAACCTGTAGGCTTTCGTTGCGTCAGGGTAGATTTAGCGTTAATTTGATCTTAATACCGATTTTTCTTAGAGGAACCTGTATGTTTTCTTACGTTAAGGAAAATTTAGCGTTAATTTGCTCTTATTATCGATTTTTCATAGAAAAATTTGTAGGCTTTCGTTGTGTCAGGGTAGATTTAGCGTTAATTTGGTCTTAATACCGATTTTGCATAGAGAAACCTGTTCCACGACAATTCCCATTTCTTTAATCGTCTTCCAATCGCTTCGAATTTCCTACTGGACGAATTTTCCAGTGCAGCTATTCGAAATCGGCCGGAAACTCGACCGAAACTCTTAAATCAATCTCATTCCGTGGATTAGCCCGATTCCCGAGGGATCCTCGCGCCCCACGAGTCCACGTATCCTAAATCCTCCGTTCTGTTCGCATAGTCGTGCAATCGAACGCACGGGGGCTCTATTTACCGTCCATCATCGAACGAAACAGACTTTCCGAGTGGAACTCGTCGAAACCAGGTCCAACTTCACGGCTCATCGATTTCGCTCCACGTTTCCATTTTTTTCTTCAGCTTTCCTTCTTTCCACGGGATTCGACGTAAAGGGACTAATGGAAATTGAATTTTTATGGACCTTCCGTTTCAGTCGTTCGAAACGTATTATGTTAACGAGTTGTTCTCTTATATTGCAAGGAATAGTGTTACTAGTGTTATGAAGGAATATCATAACGTTAACTTTTGCTATTATTTTCGAAAAGCGCAATTCTGATGTGATTATCGAGTCATTTTTAATATCCATTTAGATATTTCCTTGTTTTACGTTAATTTATTTTAATATCTATTTAGATGTTTTATTTGTTTATTTTTTAAGTTAATTAATTATTTCATTTATTTATATTTTAAGATAGGAGGTTTCAAAATATGCTGTTGACTATCGAATAAGAAATTGCGACGCGAGTTCGAAGGTTTTAGAGTCCGATACAAGGGTATTGATTTCTTGGCAAGGACCAATGCAAAATACGCCATAATTGTGAGCTTAATTCGCAATTTTACTCGTTTCGTGATAAAATTCAATTTCTCGATGATTCTGTGCATGTGCAATACAAAAATTCATCCGAAGCTTCGTCCAACGTCGACGTAATTTTCTCGAATCATTCGAGTACATTAATCATCGCGTAACATCCCGGGACTCGGCGCTATAGCGATTTAGAACGATACTTATACGATAAAAACGATTAACTCAATTATAGCAATCTTCCGGAGTGATCACTCGAGACACCTCACATCGTTCGTCCATCGGTCATGTTTCCTCGGTGACCATAATCACTCGCGTCTAGGCAAATGAATTACTTTCTTTCTTTCTTTGTCACAGAATTTTTTCTTACTCGCAATTACACAAATGTACGCGCCACTTTCAACTCGCCTTAGCGTTTAGTGCAATGAAGAGACGTGTGACGTTAATGTCGTAATTCTTCCCACAAATACTTATTCCCAAGTGTAATAGTAAAAATCGAAGCTCGAACCGCGTCGAAATTACGAAAATTCTATGTAAATTGTCGCACGAGTGTTTAAATATTTCATTCCTTCGTAGTTGTTAATCATTTCGATTCTTTCGTTGCATCGAACAAGAAATAAATATGTATTTTACCTCTGAATGATGTTTGGTGACGTTGCGCGTTCGTGAATTGAAGAAAATAGAGGAAAATAAAAATTGTTGAGAAAAATACCAACGTAATTGTTAAAAGAAAATTGCCTAAAAATCACGATGAAGAATTACGAATTATCGGCAATGGTGATAACGATATTGAATTACTTGTTCGCGTTACGAAACTTCCAAGATCCAAGAAAGGACACGTTGAAATTCATATGCTGCTGTACCTACCAAATTTCGTTGGTCACTTCGTACACCATTCTCGCATACATTTTCAACAGGTTGAATATAATAATGGAACCGTACAACGTAGAACGCATCATGTACACGATATTGTACTATGTCATCATCATAGGATACATATCTCTAGTGACGCTGGGTCTGTACCATTCGAAGGTGATCTATAAATCTTTTAATCGGTATCGATTTCTTTATTCTACGAAATCTATTTTATCCCTTTATTAAAAGAAAAGGAAAATCGATTCGTATTCGTACATCGAATAACAGAAATATTAGAGTACAAGTTTGTACGCTTACGATAAAAATTAATTACGATAAAAATTACAAAGTAACAATTTGCGAATTTTTCTACAGTCTATCTTCCAAGTGTGTTGATTAAATTAAAAATGGTTTATATTTTTATTAAAAATTTTTACGCGACATACTAGTATATATCGATTACAGTGTATATCTGAACGATTCGCATCTTTCCAACGAAATTCAAAATTCAAAAATATCGAAAATCTGACAGACACTTGCGTGAATATTTTGAGCTTTGGACCTCCACGTGATTTCGTGAAACGTAGAAATCTTGAAAGAGGTGTTTATCTAAATCGAATTAAATCCCTTTCTGTTCTTCCTTTTTTCTTATCCAGAACGTATTGAAGCTAAGAAAGAAGATTGACAAGGTGGACGAGCAACTTGAGAGCATGGGCGACGAGACCGGGTATCGCAGTATTTTTCTTCGCGAGAGGATCATCAGCTTCTTCTGGTTTCTGTTATCGGCATTACTATTTGGATTGTATTTTAAATGGTTAACGTTGCATCATGAAAGAATCGGGGAGTTCTATAGTGTAACTTCTTTCATGTTCGCTATAAACGCTGGATCGATTACTCTTAACGACTTTAAGATACACATACAGTACGTGAACGATGGATCAAATGCAATTACATCTTTCACTCGATCATCCTGAACATTCTCCATATTTTCTAGGAAAGTTTCATTTCATTAAGGGCAGACCTCTGCGGATATGAAATCATTACTTTCGAATATTTTCAATATTCTTTCAATCATAAATAAATCACTAGCAAATATACTTTAATATAATTATTATTATACTATTATAACCTGATTCTAACATTAGAATAATACCGTATTATAATCATATCCAATTGATTATTGATCGATATTTTTTGAAACATAAATAAATCACTAGAGTAACCACGATATTAAAATATAATTTAATACTATAATATTAGAATCAGGTTATGATAGTGGTATAATAATAATTATATTATTCTCATAATATTGTAGTAAAATCATATCTAATTGATTATTGATCGATATTTTTTGAAACATATATAAATCACTAGTAACCTCGATATTAAAATATAATCTAATGTTATAATACTAGAATCAGGTTATAATAGTAATGTAATAATAATTATATTATTGTCATAATGCTGTATTAAAATAGCATCACGTTATGATAGTGATATAGTGATAATTCTATTATTATTACTATACCAATATCATATAATTGCAAGTCTCTCCAATTCAAGCTTCCCATTTAAAATTCTCTGAATCTCAGTTGGCTAGAACACCGATTTAAACTGACCAACGAGCATCTCCATGCTTTCCTCTTCGACGGTGGTAAAACGAAAGCGAAGAAATCCAACGAGGAAATCATCTTCAGACCGAGTTATAATTTTCCGAGTAAATTTCAATCGGACATATGGTTGTCGGATCCCGTGTGCGCCATCCGAGAACCACCCTTGATCCACACAGCAAGCTCGGAACAGGGATCGCGAAAAAATTCGTCGCAGGTCGCCGAGAAAGTTCGTTCGTTCCATCGAATCAGGTAAAAATCCAAATTGGCCTTTCCCTTCGTACAATCGTTTCGGCGAATATTTTACTTGGACGAATTTTAAGAAAAATTTCTTCATCTTGAAGATTCATGCACCTGCAACTCTGCCAGGTGTCGAAGATGCTGAACGAGATATTCGACACACAGTTATTGCTATATTCGTTTATAATAATGGTATACACTACTATATCTATTTACTACATATATGCGATAGTTCGTAGAGCAGAAATGGCAGAAATCAGAATGAGAAAAATCTCGATCATCGTGTATATATTCAACGGTTTGCTGGCTTTCATGAAGATCGTTGCAGTGAGCCATAGTTGCGAATATACAATGAAAGAGGTGAATTTGCTTTCACTCTTCCACAAGTTTTACATAATTTTCTTTCTATTTTTTATCATTTTCTTCTTATTTTTCCTAATTTTCTTCCTGCTTTTCGTTCTTTAATTATCTTTTATCGAGGAAACAACAGGCTTGGAGCACCTTGTAATCGATTTTCAGGCTAACGAGGCGATAGAGATCATCCACTCGAGCTCTTTGTACGAAACAGATGCTGAATTAAAAGACCAGGTAAAGAAAAATTGCAATAAAATAACTCATTAATACGTTAAGTAAAATTTCGCTGGAGAAATAAAACCCAGGATTGATCTCTGCATAGATAGTTCAATTTTCTCTGCAAATATCGCTCACGCAGCTCGGAGCATCGAAATCGACAGAGTACAAACTGAACTATAACTTCATTCGCAAGGTCAGTGCATTTTCAAACTAATTTATTTCGTATTTCTCTTTTCCTAATATTTCCTTTCCTTTTACAGTGTTTGAACTACATGTTGTCTTATTTGGTGATCATGATACAGTGGTGTCAGACCACGTAGTGGTAGGATTCAGTGACCACGAACGAGATCAGCTAACCCTTTGGAGCAACCGTTTCGAAGAGAAGTATATATAAAAATGATTTTTCGTATTCTTCGATAGTTCTGTATCGTAGTATGATGGAACGTGCATTTGAACACTGTAAGCCTTAAACACCATTGTAATACCATTGGAAATATTAACTCGTTCATACAGAAAAACTTGGTAATATATTCAGACACTAAACTTGAGAGCCTACACTGCGAAGAACCTTGCACGACACCACGACCTAGACCTTTCCAGCGATAAAGTTCACGCTTTTGTAATATTAATCATCCACGGTTCGATAATGCACATTTCTATCCGATAGACTCGTTAATCGTTCGCGACAACAATTTCATCGTCGCAACGATATCGACCGGGTCCCGAGCGAGCAATTGCGTCTGTTTGTCATTACTCGACAGCCTACTTAATAACCGTGGCGCGATAATAATCTGTCAGAAGCGGTCAGAGAAGGTAACGGGACAGGTAACAAAGGTGCAGAGGTGTCAGAGTTCATCCAGTTCCATTTCGAGTCGCGATGCACGAGCCAAAGTCCATGAAGGAAGCCATGAGGCCGCTGATACTGATGAATTCCCTGTTTGGTATGAGTGTGATCTTCGACAATAGGAAGAAGTCTGTGCATCTGATCGAATACCTTCATACCATAATCTTTTTGGTGGTGTATAACGTCGTTATCATATTATCGGAGCCTATCTTCAGCGAGTACTATATAATAAGCTTATACAAATTATGCGACGACACGTATAGATACAGTAGCCTTATCAATATTCTTATAATAAATGGATTGATCATCGCTACCAGGGCACAAACGAAGGTGATTTCGGTGATACAAGTTTCACGATCGCTTTCACGATAGTTCGTTTGTACTAAACGTTTGTGGGATCACGAAAACGTCGGATTGGAACGGGACATTTTTTCTACGAATCGGGAGGGATTCCTGAATATTTTCGGGAATCGCGGATGTTTTTGGCACACCGGATATTTCCGGGAATCCCGGAAATGTCTTGGATCCCGGATATTTCTTAGAATCCCGAACATTTTCCGAATCCCGAAATCTTCGAGCTCCTATCTCGTGTTCCCCCAACATTTTGTGTTTCGTCCCAAACATCGGGTTTCCGACATTTTCGGGATTCTATATTAGAGTATTTTGCGAATTAAAATTGGTACTTTTTAAGTGGTACCTATTTCAATTACTTTTGTTACGTACTCGACGTAATCGATGTATCTTCGAGCACCGTTATAATTAAAATTAATATTTTTTTCGGTGACAAAATTTAAAAAATGATGGAAAACTGCTTTAATAGAAGTTTCTAAATTTCGTCCCAAACGTCGGGATCCTATTTTTGTTTTATTTTCGGGATTCTGTATTAGGGTACTTTGCGAATTAAAATTGGTACTTTTTAAGTGGTACCTATTTCAATTATTTTTATTAGGTAATGGACGTAATCGATGTATCTTCGAGCACGTTCGAGTTAAGATTAATATTCTTTCGGTGACAAGGTTTAAAAAATGATGGAAAACTGCCTCAGTAGAAGTCTCTAAATTTCTAGAATCTACGAACTGCGATAGCCCTCGTGGAATCCTGCGACCGAAAAATAGAAGAAATAGGACTGCCTCGGAGTTATAAGACGATGATGAAGTATCAGATCCGTGGAATCTTACTCGGTGCAACCACGATCTTAGTCTTCTGCATGACTGTCTACATCTGGCGCTTCAAAAAGTCCACGCCATTTTCTGTGAAACTGTACCTCAATTTCATAGGGCATTTGCCGGTCGTAATCACCTGGCTTTGTAATTTCTCCTTCTGCTTTTGGATCAGGTACGAAGCTGAACATTTAATCCGCGAAATTTCGTCGAGTACGTTTCAAACGAAGCATTAAGAATTGGGAATTACGAAATGCAGGTATTTCAGGATGAAATTCCAACAGCTGAACGAAGTGCTTCGAAGTATGGTGATGGCTACGCCGGATTCACCGCAGCATCAGAGGGTCCTGAAGATGAAATACGATTTCCAGAACAATGGTTTCAGATCGTCCAAAAGTAATCGTGTATATGAGAACAAGGAGAACACTACCGTGATGAGATCAGTAAAGTGAGACTTCGCGATAATTTCAACTTTTTTTTATCGTTTTCCCTGTAAAATCCTTAGATTCTCTCATTTTATGTATATATATGCAGGGATATGTTTGATTGGTAATATAAGGAATAAGAGATGTTATTTTATTCTAGCATATATATTTACTACGAGCTAAATGAGACTAGAAGTAAAGTATAGACTAAAAGAACAGACTAATAGCTAATCTATGATTATGCGACCCACCGACACTCTCGCATAGTTCCTTCGACGATGCACACCAAAATGCGCCTAAGACTCTCTCCGACTGACTCTTCCTAAACTCTGCTAAAGACTCTCTCTCTGAACTGCTCAAAAACTGCCCTTGCACCCTTATTTATACCTAACAGTCTCGTCCATACAATCTTTGCGCGTGGTCACTTGTCCTTCCACATGCACTCCAGATGTTACCCTGAACATTCTACCTGAACCCGAGTTCTGTTTATTATTCCTTATCTAGAAGAAAGGCCCAAGTGTTCCCATGCACTCACTTTCGAACCCTAAAACTATCCTACATATATATATATATATATTTTATATGGTAAGAGATTGGACGAATAATCTAGTATTAAGTAAAACAATCGACATTTTCGTGGTTGCCAAAGGAAAATGCATCTGGAGATGATCAAGATCGTAAGGATCGTGAACAACATTTACGGTGTACAAATTCTGCTGTTGATGATCTCATCGGTTATCTCCATCACCATTCTCTTCTACCTGTTGTACAGGATAACATGGATGGAGTTGACCGTCGACTCATATTTGCAAGAAGTGATTCCTTTGACTTGCTGGATCTTCTTCTACATCATGTTGATCTTGTATATAAATCACGTTTGTGCCAAAACGATCATAGAGGTACGGTTCATTATGTTAAAGAGATTCGCATACGAGCTATCCATGAGCTCCTGAAGCTCTTGAAACAGACTAGAGAACCCTTTCAGACAAAAGTGTTTAAAGTTTCGAGATATATTTAAAGATACGAAGAATTCTAGAGAAATTAATATAAATATATAAAAAGAAATAATTTGATACATTTTATCGTTAATTATTCACAGGCAGCAAGCATCGGCGACACCATTTGCGAACTCTATGAACCGTCCACCAGCACAGAATTTCGAGCAGAGGTAAAAATTCAGCCTGCCAGGAAGAAAGCAGAAGGAAACAAAAATGAGAGAAAAATTGCTTGTTTCAGATTCAAGATTTCACTTTACAACTGATCCAAAACCCATTGCTATTCACGGCCTGCGGGTTCTTCAATCTGGACCACGCTTTTATCCAAGGAGTACATCGATCTTTTTAATCGTATAAAATTTCAATATATCTCGTATTAATTCTTTGTTTCTTTCTCTTTTCTTTTCTAGATTGTCGGAACGATCACCACATATCTCATCATCATAATCCAAGTGGGAGACATGACGACCTCGCGTATGGAGGTCACAGCAGCCGAAAAATTCGAAAATCAGTCTTCGACGATAGGAATCGATACAGTGACAAACTTTTCTTTGTTGTCCGAAGAAGGGCCCGTGAAGAACAGTGATTAATTAAGTATTTCGATCGATTGTATTAATGAAAAAAGTTACGAATTGTCCTCACCGATCACAGATTGAATTACAATTTGAATTTTATAACGAAGAAAGGACGAAGTCATTGAAAGAACCAAGATATTCCGAACTCGAGTCTCTTGACCAAGTTACCCGGACGTTCGCCCTAACAATTTTCCGCCAATTAGAACGTGGACAGGGATGATACCTCAATTACACTACCCCCTAATCGACATTTTCGTGGTTGCCAAAGGAAAATGCATCTGGAGATGATCAAGATCGTAAGGATCGTGAACAACATTTACGGTGTACAAATTCTGCTGTTGATGATCTCATCGGTTATCTCCATCACCATTCTCTTCTACCTGTTGTACAGGATAACATGGATGGAGTTGACCGTCGACTCATATTTGCAAGAAGTGATTCCTTTGACTTGCTGGATCTTCTTCTACATCATGTTGATCTTGTATATAAATCACGTTTGTGCCAAAACGATCATAGAGGTACGGTTCATTATGTTAAAGAGATTCGCATACGAGCTATCCATGAGCTCCTGAAGCTCTTGAAACAGACTAGAGAACCCTTTCAGACAAAAGTGTTTAAAGTTTCGAGATATATTTAAAGATACGAAGAATTCTAGAGAAATTAATATAAATATATAAAAAGAAATAATTTGATACATTTTATCGTTAATTATTCACAGGCAGCAAGCATCGGCGACACCATTTGCGAACTCTATGAACCGTCCACCAGCACAGAATTTCGAGCAGAGGTAAAAATTCAGCCTGCCAGGAAGAAAGCAGAAGGAAACAAAAATGAGAGAAAAATTGCTTGTTTCAGATTCAAGATTTCACTTTACAACTGATCCAAAACCCATTGCTATTCACGGCCTGCGGGTTCTTCAATCTGGACCACGCTTTTATCCAAGGAGTACATCGATCTTTTTAATCGTATAAAATTTCAATATATCTCGTATTAATTCTTTGTTTCTTTCTCTTTTCTTTTCTAGATTGTCGGAACGATCACCACATATCTCATCATCATAATCCAAGTGGGAGACATGACGACCTCGCGTATGGAGGTCACAGCAGCCGAAAAATTCGAAAATCAGTCTTCGACGATAGGAATCGATACAGTGACAAACTTTTCTTTGTTGTCCGAAGAAGGGCCCGTGAAGAACAGTGATTAATTAAGTATTTCGATCGATTGTATTAATGAAAAAAGTTACGAATTGTCCTCACCGATCACAGATTGAATTACAATTTGAATTTTATAACGAAGAAAGGACGAAGTCATTGAAAGAACCAAGATATTCCGAACTCGAGTCTCTTGACCAAGTTACCCGGACGTTCGCCCTAACAATTTTCCGCCAATTAGAACGTGGACAGGGATGATACCTCAATTACACTACCCCCTGGTACACCCCATACAATCCAGATGGAGGCGTTAGCCCGTGAAATTTGGTAATCTTGAAACTCGATAGCTCGTAATTCGGTGAAGATCTACCTTCTTCCAACGACCCCTAACCGATTCTTAATTCGCGAATATAGTGTTTTAATAGCCCCGAAAATCCGAATTGAATTCCCCTTTTTTTAGCGGTATCTAAAAAAGATAATCGTTAACGAAGATAACAAACTTCTCTGTAGACCTCTATCTTGAAGTGTCACTCAAAAGTGAATACTTTCAAACGTATTGCGATATAAAATATCGTACTTCGAAACGATCTATATTAACAAAAAGAACGTGAAAAGAACTCCTACGAAATTTACATCAATTGGTATTATTTGTTTCTTTCGACTTCTTTATATTTTATCTCGTAAGAACTTGCGTAACGCGGATAAAACTCACGTTTACAACGGGTACAACATTAATTGAGAATTAAGGGTGCGAACGAGCGTGGCCGTCAGGAGCCACCTGCTACCGTGGAACACTGGTGGGGCTAGGAGAATTGATATATTGCACCCAGGGGGATGGAAAGGCCAGTTTAGATGGGTGCAAGTACCGTGTCATCCCTAATCCTCTCCCCTCTCGTTAACTAACATTCGTAAGAGATACCTCGGCTCTGTTGCCGATTAAATTATTCCAGTCAGTGCGATCGAATTCACGATAGCGTGTGATAATACTACTCGTAGACAATGTATCATTGACTTCTCATTTTTCTGATACTCGTACTTTGGAATATGAAATATCACGTTTGCTTTCCTTCCGCTTCATTGATCGAAGATATTACAATTTTAAAGATATTACAATTTAATTTTAGAAAACGATATAATATCTCCCCTGTTAATGTTGGACGTTCCTCGGTGCTATTTTCACAAAACTGGATGATAATTGTAACGATATTTAATGCAAATGTACGTGCAGAGACGATCAAGGGATACCGGATGGAAACAGAGGGGGGGGTAAGTTTCCTTGACCAAGGCATATGGGTGGGATTAAAGGTAGAGATTTTAGAAAAGTAAACGCAAACAGGCTGCTACGATACTAATAATCCGCAAACGTCGTTTATCATGTCGAAACGGATTTATCCTAACAACAGGACCACTCCTACTCGAGGGTGCGGGCATTCGATCACGACGTATCCTCGCCAAACGTTTGCCTCGCATGTTTATTGATATCGAATAGGGCGTACTTCAATGACAGTGTAAAAGACTAGGGAATATATAAATAAAAAGGCAGCCTATTTTAATAACAAGTTATATACATATTTATATTTACAATATGTCACGGTTATTATTTCTTCTTTCCGTACTTTAATTTGTTTTTCAACTTTTTCGGATTTATTCCATATGTCTTTAGCCTCTCTGGATTCAACGAAGCAATGTCGCTATTCGGATCCTTATTCTTTATGTTTTTCTTCTTTCCTTTATCGGATTTCTTCGTCGTGACTGTTTCCTTTAACTTCGCTTTCTTCGAATATTTCGTCTTCGACTCTTCGGCATTTTTATCCGTGATTTCGGTTTTTAATGAAGATTTTTTATTAATACGTTTAGTTTCGGCTTCTTTTTCTTCGTGCGGTTTATTTTCGATGGAATTTTTAGGTTTTTCGAGATTGTTCATTTTTAGTTTCTTCTTCTTCGGCTTTTCAAGCTGTTCCTCCGACAGCTTCCGCTTCCCAGGCTTTAAACTCTCTTTTGACTCTTCTTGTATAACAGCCACGTTATTTTTAGTCTTTTTCTCGCTTTTATCTAATTTTTTATCTTTTACAGGTGCTTTGTGATTAGTCTCGGCAGATGTATCGTTTTGACTTTCTTCTATCTTTTTCTTGTTCTTACGACGCTTCTTTTTTGATTCCGTGTTTTCATTCGTAGTGGTAGTGGGGTTTACAATCTCTTCTTTGTTTCCTTCTTCCTCTTCCTCAGATTCCCTGAAAAATATTAAATATAAATTAAAGCAAACAACGCAAATTTTCTTTAAACGTTGTAAGGTTCTATCTTCTTTTTTTACTTGTATAAGCTTGCAAGTACTTTTCTCTTCAATATTTCATTCTTAGCCTTCTGTTTGTACATTTGAACGTCATTTAGTTCCACATGTTCTGACTTATATTGAAGAGCTTTTTTCAAGGAACACCATTTGTTTAATTCTTTATCATCGGCCATCAATATCTATTAAAAAATACACAATCAAAATTTTTTATAAAAAAAGATATAGTACAAATAAGGATAATAATTACTTCTTCTACACTCAAACCATAATCATTGGGAACAACTTTTCTATATTTAAATCTACATGGTATATCACCAATCATATCTTCGTAATTCAGTGAATAGTATTTATCAAAGTATTCTTCGTAGGATTTATACTGTTGTGGATCGAATTTTGGCTTTTCTTTTGCTATAAGTTCTGCGAATTTAGACTTTCGCCTACGTTTTCTCTTTTTAGAAGTTTCTATATCTTCTGGAACTTTTTTTAATGGATCATAATCCGCGTCCATCTGAAATCATATTCAATTTTAGCTCATTTTCCTGAAATAGAGGTAATTAAAAATAAATTAATTACATTGAAATCTGGATCTTCGCAGTGTGGTCCTTCATATTTATTTTCATTCGCATAACTCTCTGTACTTGGATCATAATTATCCCACGTTTCTTCGATCTCTAATTCCTCATCAATATCCGGAAATTCTGGTTTAATATCATCTTCGGGAGTCGCATAGTAATCATCGTTAAAAATTTTAGTCATTTTTCGGTCATATTCAGTAGGATCAAAATCACCTTCTAAGTCGATATCATTAAATTGTATGTCGTCATTCCCTGTAATCTCTTTTAATTTCTCTATTTTTTCCTCAATTTCTTTCCTCTTTAATGCTTTCAACTGCATAAGCTCTTCTTTCTTTCTTAGCTTCTCTTCTTCCTTTCTCTGTTTCACCTCTGCTCTTTTCTGAGATCTACGGGTGTCTTTTCTTCTTAAAGAGTTTTCCATAGTACGTGGATATCGTTTAATAAATTCTTGATCAGGTTCTTCGAATCTAAAATTATATTTATGTTCAAATTCTTCTTGTTTTTCAATGTTTCTTTCGTCTTCTGATAAATTTTCATCGCTATCATGAATTATGTAAGCTTCATTTTCATCTTCATCTTTATCTGGTCCCACATAATTTTTATCTGAATATTTATCATTAAGCACATAGTCCCTCAAAAATTTTTCATTGGCATCTAAATTCGGACTAGACCAAAAATCGCGCAGAGGTTTAAGGACCACCTGTTCATTATCATTTAAATTTGCCCCTTGTCCTTTCAACCATTCCTTATAATCAGCTTCTTCCTACACAAAAGATAAGATATTATTTTGATCGAGGAAAGTAAGAAAAATTAAAACAACTTACTTTTTCTTTTTCATTTTCAGATTTGGCTTTCAGTTTTAACAAGTCATCTTCCTCTTCTTCATCCTCCAATGCATCTTTAAAACTTTCTTTTAATTGTTTTTGTTCCTGTGTATATGTGGTTTTCATATTTTCTGCTTTATTCTTTTTTAATATAATTTCATCCTCGCTATCACTAAATTTTCCTTCTCTTTCTACAATAATATTTCTTTCATAATCCCTTAAAAAAACAGCTTTCTCTTTTTTAGTTTTTTCCTTTTTTTTCTCTGAGTATAATTCCTGTGCTTTGTTGGTGTCGTCAAAGAATGTTACATCTTGATTATAAATTTTTGGATCTCTATTTTTTAGGAGAGCTAATGTCTTGTAAAAGTCTTTATCGAATTGTTCTGTTAGCTCCTACAACAATTAATCTAGTTAAAATTAAACATAAAAACATTTTATATTTATAAAAGATTATACTTTACATTTTCTTCTTTAGAGGAGGAGGAACTTTCACTTTCAGAACTTTCATCTGATGTTATATTGTCATTAATATCTCCATATTTTGTTTTTACTGAAAAGCAAAAGGACTTTAAATAGAAAGTCAGTAACACATAAGCTTTTGAAGCCTTATATATGTACTTACATTTATTTAACTCCTCTTTTTGCCGCCAATTATCATAATTTTTAGCATAGTCTGTATTTATTTTTAATTTCTCTTCACTATCAGAATTATTGCCGTTAAATAAAGTCGGCATTGTATCAATGGATTGTTAAAAAGTTAAATTGACAATTAAATATTCCAAGCAGTACTTTTTTAATTTCAAATACTTTGTTAATTTTTATTCTAAAATAATTACGAAAACATACTGTTCTTTCCAAATAAGAATTAACAAATTATGAAAAATAAGCTTCTTCACAATAATACAGAATAACAAACTGAAATAGAGGTTATGTTTCGTATAAACCATATGCTTTTGCCTTCTGTTTATGACCGTATAGTGAAAGTCGTTATTTATTGGAATAAAATAGATTAAATTATTATTTCTTGGAAATATAGGTATTATTATGAAGTAAAAGCTTTATAAAATTGATTGTTTTAAAACTGATATTTAGTTGAAAAGTCATGTATTCATTTAAATTTATTTAACCTCAAAAATAGCTATACGTATTAATAATAGATAACATATACCACATATATGAACTTAAATTTATTGTTATTAGAATAATTAAAAAAAAATATAAATCTAAACAGTATGATGGAATAAAATAATAATTAAATATATAATCCAACAAATATAATTTTTAAAATCAATTTTATTTGGAAAATATTACACTATACATAAAAACGATTTATCGTTTTTTAAACGTTCGCTATAAATTTTGTACGCAGGTGCTCTCTTAGGTACTTAAGTAATTACACATAGGTATATAAATTATCCTCATATATATCAGTTAGTATAGGTTAAAGTATAGCATTTCTACTTTATTATGTATATATATATATATAAAATACAAATGTAATATTTAAACAATATTACGAGCATAAAAGTAGGGAAAACCTACAACATATAAAGAAAAACACAATAAATTTTACTTTATCATGTACTAACTGAGGCATGTAAATATTTTATTACAAAAATGATAAGTAAAACGCATAGATCTCAGTTTCCAACATAAAAAAGATTATATCACATATTTACAAATTTGTTCATACGGTAATTTTTTTACAATAATATTATCTTTATCTAATTTTACATCAATGCTATAATTTTCTATATGAAGTTTATACACCACACCCTTCATATTCTTATATTTTCCCCAAAGAATCACAATTTGCTTTCCTATAGCAGGTATTACAGTTTCTAGATATTCCTGATCTATCTTTATAACATGATTCTCGACTTCTTCAGGTGATTTTAATTTAATTTTTCCAACAAAATTTGATTTTTCAACAGACTGAATTATTCCTTTAGATTTGTAGTATTTATCCCCTAGAGACTTGCTAATTATTTTTACCATTAAACCCTCTCTTAACCATCCTTCTTTGTTATTATCATCCTTGCTAAGCTTAGATTTATGTTTTTCTGACCTTGTTGAATTTGTTTCTTTGTCTGTATACCTATCATTTATTTCTTCAGATTTTATATCAGAAATCATAGAGACTAATTCACTACTAACAGAACTCATTTCTGTTTTCTCTTGTTTAATAATGGGAATCTTTGCCTTCTTATTTATCTTCATGTTTAGAATTATTGGCGTATCATTTTCAAATCGTGTCAGTGGCTCTTTAACAGTTTCTGTTTGGTTACTACTTTCTTGCTGACCTTTTTCTACCTGCTTCTCTATGAACTCCATCATCCTTTCCTCATCATCTTTATCCATCTTTTGTTTTTTAGCTTTTTTTTCTTGAGCTGCTAATGTTTCTGGATCCCTATCGATATATGTCACATACCAACCTAAAAACAGAGAAGATAGTAGTTAATATTGTTTGTTTGTATCCTATTTTATAAATAGTATAAAATATAATATGTGTAGAAATCACCTTTCTCTGTTTCATCAACAACACATTGTCCAGTACGTCCAAGCCATTTGACAAATGCAGTTAATGTAAGCCAAATTGTAGCATTCATATGTATATGTCCTCTGTCTGAAATATATTCTTGATATACGCGATTAGCAGGTACACGTCTGGTACCAAATTGCCTTTTCAGTAAATTTAAATATCCCTGGGAAAACTCCCTTGAAAACTGATCCATATAGCGAGACGCATTATCAGCAAACAGCAGTAATTGTCTATGATGAGATTCTGACATTGTATGACACTTGAATCCATTTTCGTCTCTGCACTGTTTTTGACACATCTGACAATACCATCTTAACTTTTGTAAACCTTTTGCCTTAATTTTATTAGCAATGTATTTTGGTGTTCCTACTTCGTGTTTACCCATAGTTTAAATTGTTTTTACATTGAAATAAAGTAAACAAAATTACAATATCCTTTGATTAATTGACGAAGCTTAAATATAGACTATTGTAGTATAAAGTGAAACACATTATTTCGTTAAAAACAAGTTCATACAGGTTATAAATTGTAATATAATATTATTACACACTTCCTTCTTTCTTTAAATACTTTTTGTAATTCAACGAAGCGATTTTTATCACAATTAGGCACTTCTAATATTCTGTGAGTAAAAAATTACAAAGCACAATATTAAATAAAATCTTGATAGGTTATTTTATACATTTCTGCAGATTGCGAAATTTTGAAGTGCTTTATGAAGCATCTTGGAGACATCTATTCGTGACACACAGTACTTGTTATCAAACGTCGATAAAATTTTAAGTAATCGATAGTAGGTAAGTTTTGGTAACAGAATAAATTTCATTATTAAAAGAATTATATTTCTAATAAATATTGATTAAAATATAATTGAAATTAAATATAGAAACTTTAGAGTAATGAAAATATTTAATAAAACGTGCTAGTGGATATAACTAAAAGTACTTCCTATAGATTTATAACACACATATGCATTGAGTATGATATATATACATGAAATTACAATTATATTTGAAATACATGTTTGTAATTTTTATTCGAATATCCACAGAAATAAAAATTATCTGGTAGACTGCTATAGTCTGCAACTGGTCGATTCACTATACCCGTCTGTTTCTAACATCCTCCCAGAAACGTGTAAATTTGATCGATCATTAAGTAACCAAATACTCCTAGTTGCACGTAATCTGTAACTTCGCTCCTGGTACTACGCCACCCGGCTTTAAGTTCAATTTCATATTGCACTCTGGCAATAGACCAGATACTATGTACGACGCGTACGTGGGCATGCAAACATTTCCTAGAATACACGCATCAAAGTATAGTATATTTCATGAAGTTAGAAGCAAATTATTATCGAGTAATTTTCGAGTCAGAAATGACGTCTTCACATAGTCATTGATTGTAAAATTTTTAAGATACCAAATCTTTATCTTTAAATATCAAAATGAAATTTTTAAATCTTATTTTAAAATATTATTCCGAATTATCAAATATATTATATATACATTCTTTTTATTCATACCAATAAATAACCTAGTGAAACTTTGTCATATTTGGTGTAAGGATATCTATTTAATTTGAGGGTATTCTATCTTTGAAATTTAGTTCGTTATGAAGAATCCTATATGTAAATATACCTAAAGACCTGCGTATTTCGATACTGTATCTCGAGTGTTCATGCAATTGTATACGTATGCTTGAATTCGAAACTTTAGATTGTACTTCCGAAGGCCGAATATGGAGCATCTATTTCGAACCAACTCGAACTTGAACTTAACCAGTTGACGTAATCTTGATTATGGCGGCATGATAGCCAGGAAATTGGTAATTATGACAGAGAATGATAAGACATGCTTTCTACACGAAGTTTAACGACTCGGCTGAATGGGAATTTAGGTGAAATTATTTGATACGCAGATTGCGATCTGATTATACCTAACCTGGTGCAGGGTGTTACTCGTGTTCGTAAATCTAACCAGCACAATGTACTTTGACTATATTTAGTTATTCATACACGAAAATTATGTAACTGAGACGTTAACCTTTGTTTCAGAAAGATTAATTCTATTAATGATTAATACTTAAATTAACCTCTATTACCGTTTTTAATGTTATTGTCCTTAATATCATTTAATTTTGCAAAATCAATACAATAAAAATATTTGCTGTATCAATTTATTAGTCTTTACAAATTTTCTTTTTTAATCTTATTTTTTCTTTCTTTAAGGACTCAGAAAAGATATTGTAAGAAATAAAATCTTTCAACTTTGTAACATTGTCATGCAAAGATCTACGGAGAAAGTTCCAATATTTTTGGTGCGAATCTTCGTATTTTATAGTGCTAAACAGAATTTGAGATATTTTTCTCGAATATCCATTCCAATCGAACGAAAATGGCATGAAACGCATGCAAAGATCGACAACTGTGATAAAGTCGCGAGATAGCACACGAGTGAGACGAACTATGAGGTTGCAACATGGAAACGTAACCTTATTCTACGAGGCTGCATGTTTATGTGTGCATACCTAAAAGCATTATTTGATTTGATCAAGGATATCAACTCAAAGTGCATAACGATATCCAATTATGAAATACGTAAGTTTCCATTTAGTCAGTTATTAATAATTTTCATAATATCAAAACACTTTTTATTTTCTTTTTCATATGCACTTGCTTTTTTATAGGAAATCGTCTGCGTATCTCACTATATTCTTTTTTTAAAAAACATGATATACTGAGGAATGAAATTTAATTAAGGTAAACAAAATTACTACAAATAAAAAATTAATTTCTTTACATAATTCATTCAGTTGAACTGTAAAATTTATCATCAACGTTATAATAGATCGATCTTTTCGATAATTACTATTTTTATCAATCTATCCATTGGTACCACCAACAACCCCAAACTGAAAGCTAGTTAACCGATACTTAGACGTCAGTCTGACGCGCGAAACTTCTTTTTCAGCAACCGGATCACGGATTTCCTGAGGTGTTAGGGAAGTCGAGCCTTCGAATTCTCGAGTTCATGGCCCGCCATTATGCATATACATACGTATGCAATAGCCTGGTGGGATGGTAGATCGTGCGCGGCGCGATGAACCGACTCGGCCAAAAGCTACCGGAATTATTAACTCCTGTCAGTCTAGGTAGCTCGATGCAGCAACGAGCACTTGACTGCCTCTTCCACTTGTTAAGACCATTTTGAGAAAGAAGATCGATCGATTTCACGTAGATCAAACGCACTAGGCATACTTTGCTTGGTCCACAGAACCAATTTCTTTTTCATGTAATTCTTTATCTCTAAAAATGTTAGTCTACGACAAATACTCAACATGTTGAATCTTAATTAGTGGATTGTAGTCACGTTGCGATTGTAAAATATAAAAATCGATGAACTAATTGTTTTATGACTACTATATTCAAGTGGAGTCATTCCGTAGATTATGTTGAAGTGTTTATAGAAGTTTGAAGCGATCTCAAGACACGTGAGTGGATTTTTGAGGCAAGTGAAAGATATGGAGGAAGCAGAGGAAATCGAGGAGAGTACCAATTCGTGTTCGACGTCCACGTTGTCCTCGGCGTCGGTGCGTGGCAAGAAACCCTGCACGGAAATGCGATCGGAGAAGCCGGTGTACCTTCGTCAAAAAGGTACGACCTTAGAAACGTATTAATAGCTAGTAAAAATTCAGACATTTTGGAATTGCTCGGCAATATAAATCAGATTATTAAAAAAATTACTTGCAATTGGATACTAGGCGATTAAAAATAATTGAGAATTATTCGCAATTATCATTCTTCTCTTAGATATAGATCTACGAAAATAAGTTTAATTTTTAAAAGAATCATATACAGTTCACCCGCATCGTTATTCGAGGCTGATATTTCTGAAATCCAATTTCGCACACTGGCATGATGATGGATTAATAATGGAATGGTATATCCTTGTCTACAAACTTTCGCTGTTACACGTCTTATTATAAAAAGCACATATTTCAATCACGATACAATTATGATTTTCACTCTTTATAGTTTAGAACTATTTCTTTTTTTAGACGAATTATTTTTTACTTCCGATTCTTTAACACTTACATCACAGATTATACTGACATTCCTTGTATACCTTAAAAACGCAAATTTTAATTCCATACGAACAGTCCATATGTAACACACCTAACTTTATCAATTCATTTTTTCTGCAGTTTCTCATATTACTTCCGACAGAAGAAAGAAAGGAACTACACTTTCCCTGCAATGTTCTAAAATTAAAAAATTCCGCGCTATAAACGAAAAGATTGGAGGACGACGTTGTAGTGCACTGCAAAGCTTGACAACGAATGAAGTAAATTTCACCCTCAGAGGGCCGATTCGTCGATGATTCGCCAAGAATCGTCAAGTACTAGCTGACGAATTAAATCGATGGATCACTGGGGCAAATTAAACTGTATTATATCGGTAGGTGTAATCAGCAAATGCAGATGCCTGTTCCGACGCGAATTCGTAATTCGATAGACTCGATTACACGCAAGCACGCGATTCTAAAAAGTATGTTCGAGACGTACACATACTCGAGAACAGCCTCTCCGTCATCTCTTACTTCGAAGAACAAATAACTACTTATTCATCATCGATATCCCCCTAGAGAATCTATGAAACATCGATATTGTATGGTGCAAATTTAATTTTGATCTTAGAATTTTTATGATAAAATTGCACGATTTATTTTATGTTGGATGTGTCTGAAACTCGAGGACGAAAATATTTGAGACATTGTTAAAGGAAAACATTTAAATTTAACGGAGATGAATATTAAAAACGTCGAATTGCACCAGTATTATGTAGGTCTTTGCTAATTTTCTTCGTCGAAGCTGAAAGAAGTACTGCATAAAGTTGGGAAATCTCTCTTTCTAAAAACAGCATTTCGAATAACGGTGATTGCAGACAGGCACCAAAACTATTATTTCAGAACGGAAAACTCTGTAATGGAATGAGTTAAAAAAGAACCGATTTATACATACGTACATACGTTTTACGAAGTTCGCGTGTCACGTGAAAGGATTTGCGCGAAACAATAATACATGGCAAGTAAATGGCATACGTGCAAGAAAAAACAGTGAAATGGTAAATGAAAAGGAGAACGGCTTCGAGGATGTGCGATTACTTCATGGTGCACCGGGATTACTTCGATGAAACAAAATCTTTTCTTTATAATTTTCCTCTGCTCTAGATGCAAGATTGCGGAAGCTAGTTTTACGTCCACTGGTTCGGATAATTGCAACAATTACATAAAAAATTTACCTCCATTAGTATCTCCAATTTTGCAGTAATCTCCGTAAATTTTCTATTGAATTTAATGTGTACTCAATTTTATCTGTGTTTTTTCAGGTAATACCTTCATTACGAAAATTAGTCTATCGTGGTAAAAAGCACGATAGATGCGTGATAAATTCACACATTAATGTTTAATGAGGCATGGAATACATAATATTGAATAAAAGATCAATTTCAGGTTGTACAAGTTTACATAAAGACTTAATCAAAGTTACACAAAATCAATCACGGTCTCATCAAGGTTCCATCAAGGCCTAAGAAAGTCATGCAATGTCTTATAAAAGTCATGCGAAATTATGTGTCTTACGAAATCATATAAGGATTCACTTAAATCACAGAACATCACACAAATGAGATACGAACATTTTTCTTTAAAAGATAAGCTACAGTGATTTATCCTAGAGAACCTACTAATTGAATACTTAACAAAAAATTCTATAAATACCCAAGATTCTAATTCAACGTACAAAATATTATTAAAATATGAAAAAGAAATTCTAGACAGTTTCCCGCACATCACGCAACTCTAATCGTGCGGATGTTCATGTCGACACCAATTATTCCTCGAGTACCATAAGTCACCACCTATAAACCCAACAGAAGCTGCATTTCCGGTACACGTATACTGAACCGCAGACATCATCTTAGAATACATGATTAAGCTGCTTGCGTGGTATAAGACATGTCGTGTACATGACAGAACGATAGACAGACATTATTAGGGCATGTCTATCGTCTATCCTGGCGAGCAGAGTGTCTTTGGACGTCCGAATTGACGCGTTTCGTGCGGCCGAAAGTTTCACGGACTCGTCGCGATATCTGGCTGGGATCGGCGTATATAAAGGGACCTGGAATTCGGCACGAATCCCAATTGATATTCGATAGCTTGGTGCGCCGGCTGTGCCAGTGCACATCGGGTGACAAACGCTAGAAGTCTTCTCACACCCTTCAGTTCCTTAAATGTTTCGCTCTTTTACGTCTGTTTTTACTTACAACTTCAACTTTTCATTGGGATTAATTTTTTTTTACATTCTCTTCAGGGTCTTCATCTTTTACCTCATAGATGATTCCAGTGTGTTTATTGATGTGTAAGATTGAAGTTTAAGGGAGATGTTGCTGTCTGCTAGAACAGCCAGGTGTGCGGCTCTGATGGGAGAGCCTGATGAATTGTATCCAGGTGGAGAACTCGAAGAACTTTTTGGAGTGAAGAAAAGGGATTGACGAAGTTGTTTTGTGTCTGGTTTGTTGCAGAAAAGATCATATATCCCAGGAATACTAGGACTCTGGCGAAGACAGCTGTTATTGGTGGCAAACCTATCGAAGAGGAGACTTGTATGGTACTTTGTCAATTAGGATCTTAATTAAGACAGATTGCTAGATTATTTTTTTATTTCATTTTAATATTTCCATAACATCGTAGACGTGGACTTTTAAGGCTTTGCCAAAAGTTTAAAAGCTTGAAAGCTTCTTTGTTCTTTTATTGTTGTTCTCCTCATTTTATATTTTTTACTCTAGGCTCTGAGAACATTGGTTTTCGGAAGTTGTGCTAGTCCACCGAGACCGGAATGGGCAAGAACCGGATTCACCCTACGACCTTACGGACAAAGCTTGGCATTTGGATTACGAGCACCGAGAAATACGACCAGGGGTCTCGTCACGGCTGTGCAGGCCATAATGCTCAAGCATTTCCTGTTTAAATGCAACAGACAGGACACTCATGCTAGTCCAGAAAGGTAAATGTCTTGAACATGTTCGTTGAAATTCTACACAATTAAGAATTATCAGAGACAATTTACACTGCGAACATCATGCTGATTGAAAAAGTCTTTTAAGTTTAATTTAATCACTTTTAAAAATATTCCTTTTCCTTTTAGGACACGCTTCTGGACTTGTATGAAGATTTTTAGTTCTTGGAATTGCGCACTGAAGCTTTTTCCTCGCTTTGACTTTTGAGTTTGCAAAGTATTTTGTGCTTCTATTTTAATTTAGCACGAAGAATTTTTATTTGGTTTTACTTTTATAAGTGTTAAATATTAATTTATTATCTGTAATGAATTATTTATAATATTGAGAATGAAAAATACTGAAGCAATTTTATTTCTGTTGAAAATAGTCTACTGAAGCCATCGTATGATAGACAAATCGATGTCTTAACATCAACGATAGCCGAAATAATTTGGCGTTGCGCCGGTGGATTCGTTGTGCAAAATACTGGTTGTTCGCCAAATCAAAGTGCCACCGGAAACGCAAATGTCCCCAGGGCCGTGGTGGTTCTACCGCAAGAGACACCTTATGTACAACATAGCGTACAATACTTTCAAGATGGTCTCACGGAAACCGTATGTAAATATGTTGCTAAGAAAAAGTAGGAAGTGACAATTTTTTGATATAAAATATATTTCCATTAGACTTATTCATCGTATTACTAATGTTTGAAGATTATTTATGGCAAGATAATGAACGCATCATTTCGTAAAGAAACTATACTTTAATTCTTATTAAAAATTAATAGTTATTATTTATTAGATATTACAGTTAACCTGTCGAGTTTCCAGTGTAAATAAATAAATTTCAGCTATTGCTATTACACCAATTAGTAGCCTTATCTTCATTCTAAATTTTCAGAATCATTTATATCTTAAAATTTTTTATTTGTAGCTGCATCTGTTCGAGTTTGAATCTCTACAAGATTTGGAAATATTTATTAAAAGATATTTATACCTGGTAAGTTCAAATAAATATGCTAACATTAACGAGTTGTCTTTAAGTCAGTAAAATATCTTATGTAATAATTATTCCAGTTTCAAGACGAAGGTGGACCGGGTGCTAAATTATTATTGTACAGCGCTGTGCTTTCCAGAGGACTTTCTAAGTAATTTTCCTTATATCGTTTATTAATTATTGTTACTATCTTTTAAAGATTATATAACAAGTATCACAATATGTTTTTATCTACATAGAGTGCAAGCTGATTTGGAAGATCCAAAAGGTTCAATATTAAGTGGTTGCCCAGAAGAGGGCCCCACAAACGCTGTAATACTCTCATTAACCGGTCGTGCTTCGCCTCACCTTCATAATGGGGTGCTACACGTAGGGGATGAAAATACCTATGTAAGTAACAGTTTTTCTTCCTTTCCCAGATTTGATTTTTACTTTCCTGTGTAAATGTCAAGGCTATACCGCAATGGGGAGTCCTCGTGAGGAGTGAAGTAGGATTTCTGGTGCACGAAGGTGACGCACAATTGAGTAAACAGCCAGGTTCTCGTCTGAAAACTCCGAATTTACCGATATGGGTTACTCTGTGTCATGGTCATCATGGTGTCTTGTTTAATACGAATCGCGAGTTGCTTAGAAATTATCACGCTGAACGACGGTATACAATTATAATCGATTACACAATATTTTGTATTAATTGATAATGCATTTGTATCATATATTTCTGCAAGTTTCGAGATCCAATACTTCACGTGCGGCGGCAGTCATGCCATTTTGACCGTGGATACTAGGTCGACTTCCGGCAATGATTCAGAATTCGAAGGCCCAAGTAAAGAATGTATGGACATTGCTGCAACACCTTTGGAGAAACTCATACGCTCCAAGTGAATAACTATCCACAGACATCTTTTAATACGTGCCATTTACATTATTAAAATGTATATCTTTTCTTTCTTTCCAGGTGGCAAGATGCTTATATACAATGGAATGGAACACCTTTAATGTGAATGCACCAATATGTGTGTTCATAAATTTAGTTAAAAATTAATACAACTTTTTGCGTCGTTCGTTTAGATAGTAACAGATTAGTTATCTTTGTAAAAATTTCTGTGCTTAGAAAAAAAAATTGTTTCCATCAATTCTTTAATTTTCACTTTTATTTCAAACGAGAAATTTCTTCCAAGATATTGCTAACGGATTGCATACAATAGATATCGATTTCGCACATTCATCAAATGTTCTTCAACACGCGATCGCGTGAAGCGCAGAGTCTCGAACACTAAACGATAAATTCTTTTACATCAAATTTTGCACACTGCTACTTTCATCCCTTAGCTAACACCTCTATTTTCACTTGGCAAGACTTATTTCATTCATTAAGAATTCATCATCTAAGTTCACACATAAAGGAATAAATTCCTTTCTCTACCATTCTCGTTCATCGTAATTTCCATATTCCACACAACGAAGTCAAACAAGACACGATTAATTTTCTCCATAGAAATGTTCAGCAATTAAATGTATAGCATACATATCTTCAAGAACAATAGGTTGTTCCCCATAAACAGTCACTCGTCGAATCCTCGCCATCGTTTTCCCAGCCACAGAATTTTGGCTTTCATGAGAATAGAGGGAGGAAAGGGAAGGAACAGTTGCATGTGCAGTGGTGGACACGTAGCCGTCCAATTTCCTGCCAACGAAAGTAAACACCTGTTCGAAGCAGGGCCAGGAAGGCGCTCGGTTGGTCGTCGATTCCCCCTTCCTAACAATGGAGAACCGACTTCCCGAGTGCCGGTCTACCGCGTCTCTTTGCTCGTCCGTGTTTCGTAGTAGCGAGTCCTGCCGGTCGAAAGCGAACAGGTGTAGGTTCTAAAGGTTCCTCTGTCGCTGTATTAAAATTAACAAAATCCGTCGTGCAAATCTGAATACGAGCAAAGCGAGGAAACGAAGGAACAGGGTGGAAGAACTCGAGGATCGTTTCTTCGATATTTATCTCGGTGGATTTTTGAAATAATTCGTGACACGTGCTTTGGATAAGCTAGTCCTTAGAATAACTTAGAATAACTTGTTCGAATGACGATGTTCCTTTGGTGGTGTTTTTGAAAAGGTTGAGACTGTGATGGAATGGTTGAAAAAGGGGTTGATTGTGGGATGTAACAGAACGTATATCTGTTAAAAAGTTATGTTGATTAAAGTGAGTTGTTTGTGAACTATGATGACGATTTGAGAGGAATGCTCGCTACCGGTCGTTGAAACGCGAAACAAGCGAGACGGAACTGGAAGCTCGAGTGGTGGAGAGCGAAATAGTGCCGCTGCTGATTCTGATCATCTAATAGGATTCTTGTGGTAAGTATCCAGAACTATAGAAAAAGTATGGATGATGAAGCAGCTCGAAAGTCAGACTAATTAGCCGATTGTTCTTTAACGACGAAGCGTTAATTAAAAGGGCCAAGGCTATCTTCATGAAAGGAACAAGATGTTTCTTACGCACGAGTTTACATCGATATCCTTGCTATTATATAAGCATCACGGTATATATCTTTCATTGTATAGATACTCTACTTGCTCTTATCCAAAAATCGATACGTTTCCGCACTTTCGATCGTGAAAGTGGCCTGCAAGCAGAAGCACGGACAGAACAACAGAGTATAATGATTCATCGAGCCGTTTCTTGAGCTAGTATGGAATCGGTGGCATCGCGAATCGTGGCCAGGAGGGAGGACTTTACGCCGGTTGCCCATGGCAGTGCGTTTCAGTTTACGGTCGGTGAATTTCAGGAGTATCGTGGCCCACATAACCGGCGTATCCGGTTCGAGTATCCCGTATAAATCATTTGGCCCTACCGCGAATCCTTCATTTTTTCTTGGTTTCGCGAATTATTTCCGCTTACTCCCGCGGAGATTGCGTTTACCACTTTGTTCCAGCCGATAGGAAACGTAATTGCCAACTCAGACAAAGATACGTCTATTACCCTGACTCTCGAGAATCGCTATAATTCTTTCGAGCAATGGATTTCAGTTCCTTGAACGTTCTGATCAATGGTCGAGATGAACACAGGGATAGATCTGTCAACTGTATAAATAGACCGACGATCTTATTCGTAAGATACACCATACTTTGCGTAGTACAATTAAACAGCTTCCTGTGTAATCGTTGCTCGTTTCAAAGCAGTTTCGTGAAAAGAAACTACAACGAAATAAGGCGGAAAAAAAATGTTGAATCGAGGGAATGGAATCGTAGTTCTCAAGCTGCTAGGAACTTTTTGCAATCGCGAGCCTACTTTTACCTCCGCGATTCGATTCACTTTACCCTTCTTTGGTTTCGAACACGCAGGATCGACAAACTATCGCTCTCGCCACCCCCACCTTTGTTGCTAATGTCGTTCCACGTATCTAGGTTTCACGTAATAAAGTAGTTTCTTCGCATGCTTTCTAACCACGCGTTATGTTCGCCCGTTGCGAACGCACACACTCGTTTTTTTCTTTTTTCGGCCCGTTGCTCGAGAATCCGACATCGATCCGACAAATGTTTGCGTTCGCTTTTCGTTTACAAGAGACTAGCCTATAGTCACGCTATTCGCGAGGAACGAGTCTCGATTAACGACACCTTCTATGGTGATCGCTTTTAGGAACCCGGTTCTTAAAAACCGTGGGACTGGAATCGCTTGTAGTGCAACGATTGCGTCTCGTTAGGGGGATCTGTAAATGGATTACTGTAAATGGTTACAAGCCAGATGGTTATAAATAATTTAACATGGCTCTGATCAAAGTGATACATAATTATATCGGTGGTCTATAATCCAATGACTATGAACGATTGTAAAAGATTATGCAAGAAGGTGAGTGGACAAGTGAGAAAATATTTTATTGGAGAAAGGAATTTTTTTTGAAAAGGAACATTAATTTGTAGAATTATAACATATGCTTTGAAAGAATCTGTAATACAATGACCTATATTACATGCAAATCTTATGTGCACCCATGAATATGGATGTTAACTGTGAGTAGCTATAATTTTGCATAATTATGAATTCTATAAACGACTATAATTATACGTATCTATAACTAACTACAAAAGGCAACAAGTCGTTGTAGGTAATCACAGTTGTCAAATTCAAAGTAACAATACAAATGTGTAAACGACAAGTAACGTCGTGGTCGTAAGTAACCACCCACGCTGCTAGCATAAATCACTCTTAATGACTGTAAGTGGTTTTGCGTGGCTATGCGACAAATTACTTGCTATGTGTCTATATCGCAATACCAAGATTTACTCGAACAGAAAATTTTGAACATAGTAATCGATCTAAAGGTACACCCTCCTAACTTTCGAACTATTCTTCGTCCGTTTCCTCTGTCGCAACACATAACCACAAATTTTGCATCAATTTGCAGATGCATCGGCCATCGCCTGGACCGGTGAAGGATGTCCTTGGATCGCCATGAGACTTAGCATTCTAAAGATCCTGCCTGTTCTCTGTTGCACGCTGCATTTACACGCCGGACAATGTAGGTCCTCTTTCAAATTTTCTCACGCCACCTGCTTTCTCCCCTTTCGTCCCTTCTGTTCCATAATTCGCCCTGTTTCCCTTCCTGCTCTTTCCACCTTGGTCGCGACCTTAATCGCGCCTTCTTCCGTTTCATCACACGGTTGATCGCGTGCGAACGGTTACGTTGAGGAATTGCGGTTACAGAGGGAAAAGATCGAATCGAATTCGACGTATACCTACACGAAAGTTCTCGGTATCTGCTTTTAGACCAGATGCAGATGATCATTCGACGAATCGAATAGTAGATCATTACGCTCCTGTATATTGCGTTATTAGAAATATAAGCCCAGCGAATCGCGTGGCGTTAAATCACTACGACATCGCATAGCTTGTTTGCACCGAGCCTTAATCCGTTCTGTTTCCCTTCGACGATTCCCGCGACATGTCCAGTCGTGGATTAGGATCGAATGACTTAGAAAGTCGCTGCATTGCGAAAATCGAGATATCACTGCCTTAACGTCCTCGTTTCTCTTCCTCGTCGCTAGATGGACATCTGTTGAAATTTCCAGCTATTCTGCGCACATGATAATTGGGCCGTAATAAGAGGCAAGCGGTGATACTTTCAGGCCTGCGTTTCGCTCTGTTCTTAACTCTTTAATTCAATTCCTTTTTGTCGAGCAGAGTAACTCAAGGTTTAATTAAAATCTGTGGAATATCACTAGGTTTGGTGGAGGCTCCTCTCATAAGTAACCGGAGAGTATTCATTTAAGTGGTTAAGTACAGGAACTCGTTTAATTAATTTCTTTGTACAATTACCGTTCGTTTGTACCATATGTAACCTTTATCTTGTCGTGCAATTGCATACGGTTAACGGTAATACATGTGTCTTTCGCTTAGTTACATCTTTGTACTGTCGTGTAATATGTTCTTACAATCAGTGCCTCGTAGGGAAGGTTGATTCGTTCTTTGGTAGAATCGTTGTCTCTCATTTACATGACAATTAGTCGTTATCTTGTCCAACAGGAAGTCTGTTGATACAACGCTTAAACGAACGTTTACTTTTTCCCTCTGAATAATCGTGCGAATTCGCGTTACTTCCCTGTGTTTCTTATCTGTCGTATAATAAAGCGGTTAAAACGATCAATGAATATTTTCTGTAAAATAATTCGTTCCAGATTACTAACTCGGGCATCGATGCGTATCGACGATAACATCGAAAGGATTGATTTCTAATTCATCGCGCAAAACTTACTCCTATACGACTTGTAAATATTACGCTTTACGTCGTATCATCTACGAATTTAATGACGCTTGATATTAAATTTTTCAGGTTATACTTAGCAGTTAACCTTGCAGTTTTAACGTGTAATCATCGGTTTGGAATGCGAGCTCTGCATCCATAGAATGCAGCATTCAATCCAAATTTCAATACAAATTTCCACAGTCGGATTGGAAACAATGGTATTATTTTCTTCTGGAAAAGTCTTCGACTGTGGAGGAAAAAAGATTACGAAAGCCAACGCCGGAACGTTGCATCGTCGATACGCCGTGAGCTGGCAGCAGGCGGAACTGCGCTCCAAGGGAGCGCACACGTCTAACCCCTCGTACACGCGCTCCTGTTAAATGACTTCTACATACACACGCTCTTCGTAGGCACTTACATATTTTCACGTGTTGTTGCAGTGTTGATTCGGTCCTTTTTATCTGTGTGGAACATTCGCAAATGTATACCATCACTCATACCACGCGACGAAATATAGGTTTCTGCTATACCATGGCTGTTATGGTGCTTTGATTAGGAACCAAACATCGTATAGTTCATTGATATTCGAAGTTTTATGACGTTAGGATACAAAGGAAATTATATCGTCCAAGTTAGCGAGTCGAAAGTTGTAAGATCAAGTTTCATGCAGGGATAGGGGTAGATTATGCCATTTCGCGCAAAGAGAAATGTAATGATTTCGGTTGATGATGTAATGGTTCTCGTTTGGAGGATTTGATTATCGATTGTGTTGCGTGCTTATCTCGATATATATAAAAAAATGACATCGCAAATAGTACAGTTAACTTGGAAAAATAACGGATAACAGAGGCTTCGATGCACGACGAATTAGAGGCAATGATCGCTTAACACTGGCCGTCTTGATCCTATTATGGACGGTTATCTTGATTGTTTTTTACCTTCGAAGGAGCCACCATATAAATTATTCTGTTTCTTTCACTCCGCATAAGTGAGAAAAATAAATCAATTAAGTTCAAGAAATTCTTTGTCTTCGATAAAAGAAGCGGCTAAGTGAAACAGCAGACAAATCATAACAGATGAATTAAAAGGTAGATACTCATTTTCTAGCCACTCTATAATTCTGATTTTGAGTTTTTCCATTTATAACGCTAGCTGAATAAACTATAGATAAAAAGTAGAATTACAAATACAACCCTGGCACTAATAAATTACAATAACAAAATATCAGGTGGAAAACCAACGGTGAACCACTTGTTGAAAAAGGCCGGAAACCCAAAAACCACACGATACCTGGATGTAGATCAAAGGAACATGATCGTTCTACAGTCGAAGTAGCTAAAGAAATATTAGCCCCTTATGGGATACGACCTGTTCACAACTCTCTTGTCATTTTACCTACCACTTCCGGTTCAAAGATCTTCCCTTGCCATTCATATCATTCAATGATCTTTTTTTTTCTACGAACGTATTATTAAAGTAAGAATGGAATTTACGACATATGACATTTTCAACTAAATTTTTATTTATTACATTGATAAGATAATTAATAGAATTAATATTATACTTATTTAAATATAGTGATCCGTGACGCAAGATGTTTCCTGGAGAACGGTGCCACTGCTGCCCACCTCTTCGTCAGCGAAGATTTACCAGTCGGTGACACCGTCGGGGTGCTTGGGGTGCTGGGTGATCCTGGACCTCAGGGTGACATCGAACTCAGACTTCAGGAACACGATAGCCCCGTAACCTTCTCAGCGTACTCGAAGAATCTAACTCTTATTAGACCACTAGATAAAGAAGGTGTTGACGGACCTGCCAGCGTTTATGTGAACGTAATTTGCGAGCGGAAACATACCTTAGATCCTGTATGCTTAGTAGACTTTCCTTATATCGTGTATACATTACAATTTTGTCGAGCATAACACGATTCTTTTGATTATTTGCATTTGTAGGGCTTCGTGATACCAGTCAATATTCGCGTGACTGATGCCAATGATAATGCACCTCAATTTGTAAATGCGCCTTACGTTCTGAATATCTCCGAGGTGAGAAATAGATTAGATAAACATATTGCATAGCAATTTTTGTTATGTTTTTATAAGTATATTTGATCCTACTTTTCTTCTAGTAATTGATGGCTTTTCTTACATTTAGGTGACGGTAGTTGGCACAAGGGTACTACAAGGGGTAAGAGCTGTGGATGCCGACCAACCGGGACCATTTTCTACTGTGCAATATGCTGTTTTACCTGGACCACATTCGGTAATTTTTTATTCCCTTTTATTGTACTCTCTATCCCTTTTTGTTTAAAAGAAACTCCGATGAACTTTTGCAGGACTACTTTGTATTCGTGAATGCATTAGAAGGTACCCTGGTTCTAAGGAAACCACTAGATTACGAAACTCTTGCCAATTTTTCTGTCGACATCCGCGCACAAGTAAGTGGCAAATTGAATAGGTTCATGATAATCAAAGAACTTTATGAACGCGACAAAATTGTTTAATATTCGCAGGATCAAGGTAACCCGCCCAAGTTATCAACTACGACTCTCTATGTTAATGTTATCGACGCGGATGATCAAAATCCTGCCTTCCAAAGTGACCAATATAAAATACTCATTCCTCGAAATATTAAAACGGTACACTTCTTTTTTTTTACATTTTTGTTTTTAAAAAAATATGAAAATGTGACTAAAATTGTTAAAACATGACAAGTAATTTATACCTTTCCAGAGAAGGATATTGAAAGTAGATCCTGCACCGATAAAGGCGGTAGATCAAGATGTAGGTATTAATGCTCCAGTTAAGTATACAATTCAAGGCGGAATCCTTCCATTTCTCACTCTGAATCTAGAAACAGCTGAAGTCGCTATAACGCGACCACTGTATGAACATGAACTCTTGTCTCCAGCAACAATTGTCGTCAAAGCAAGTATCGTTAGACGTTAATTAATAAAGTTTTGTAAATATTTTCTATATAAATAAATATCTTGTTAATTTCTTTTACAGGCCACGCAAATAGACAATCCAGATAAATATGCTCTTTCTACTATAGTTGTTTCTCGGGAAAGTGACTGGAATGTAGAACCTACGGCTGGTATATAAATTTATTAATTTATTCCCATGAATTTCGGCGTTGCTGAATTATTCTTATTTATTGAAAATAATGCATATTAGGTGGAAGATTGCCAATAAAATTCATACGAAGGGATCACCAGACTAGCATTCCAGAAAATACTCCTCCCGGCAGTGTTCTATTAACGACAGGCGTAAATAAAGCAGATTCGGTAAGATAGAATTGGACATAAGGATTTATTAGAAACCCTATTCAAATGTAAATCATTTATCTGCATTCAGAATTTAAGGTTCTGGCTCGTAGGAGCAATAGAAGACCTGGAAAGGTTCTCCATTACCAATTCCGGTGAATTAATTTTAAAAGGTACTCTGGATTATGAAAGGAGGGTCCAACATAGTTTTTTGGTTCGCGTTACCGATGGTCATCATGTATGTTTTTAATTAATATTAAAATTATGAAAATAAAATTTAATGAAAATAAAAATGAAATAACATTTACTGTTATAATTTACAATACTTAAATATGATATTTCAGAATGATACTTCTCGCGTGAATGTTTCCGTTGAAGATGTAAACGAATGGGAACCCCGATTTCGTCATCCCAGGTATGAATTTCACGCTGCAACCTTAAGAGAAGGATCTATTGTCGGTGGGTAAATTTTTTCCTGTATCATTTTTTTTTAATAAAGTAATTAATCTAATACATGTGACATGTGTATTGTAATGTCTAACGTAATGACGACATTCATAATAATAATAATTATGTTGTAGGAAAGTTGGAAGCTGCTGATGGGGACAGAGATGATAAAGTTAGCCTGTCTCTCAGAGGTCCGGATGCAAGGTATAACACGAAAAAACGAAAAAATTAAAAGATATTATTTTATAACAAGAATAAATAAGATATTTAAATATTCAATTACAATAGATCCTTCGAGATACATGACAATGGAGAATTAATTCTCAGATCAGCAGCAACCATTAATGGTTCCTTGGCTAGGTTAGTGGCTGTAGCTTCCGATTCTGGTCGTCCTCCCAGGTTTGTGAACTAAGATAATTTAATTTACAACATCATTTTATTATATATAATCTCTCTTCATTTGAATTTTCTTTTCTGAAGGTCCAGTATGATCCCAGTGATCGTGCACATACCAAATAGTGGTTCCTTACCAATCGCTGCAAGGGCTGCACCTGCCTGGTTAGGTAGCAGTGTTCTTCTGGTTGCTGTTTTCGGCGCTGTTTTAGGTCTCCTTGGAGTTATAATACTTGTTTTAATTTTGTACATATATAAGAAGTAAGTAAAGCTGATTTCTTAAAAAACTATCTGATTTTATTTTTCTGATAATTCCCTCAACCATGAAACATTACATATTCTTCAAATTTTTTGATAAGTACTCTTTTTTGTTATTAATTAGTATTTTTTATAGTAAACTATAACTCGCTAAACTAAGAAAAAAACTGAATTGCAATAAAAAATGTTTATATAACCCAGAATCATTTAGCAACATATATGATATCAAATTTTTATAACATGTTACAGTAAAAGACCAAAGACCAGTGGCTCGGTGAGTTCGGTAGGTACTGGTTATCGAGAAAAATCGCCAGTTCCCTCTGCTCTAAGCCCAACTCCTCAAGTACTCGGGGCAAATATGCTTCAGGATGCATTAGAAGTACCCCGAAGAAGAAACCGAACCGATGGTGCGCACGGTATCGTTGAAAATGACGAAGAGACCGAAGTTGGAGATGAACTGGGCGAAAACGATCGTGTTGAGCAAGAAATTGTTGATGACAGCAACCATAGTGAATCTCAAGAAATTAGAAATGACAGCAATGACATCGAAAATCCTGTTTTTGGAGCGGGGAACTACAATGCCACTATTAAAAGTAATTTAAAACAATAAACTGAGAATCATTAGAATGCTATTGAAACTTTTAATTTTTTTTTTACCTTCATATTATTACAAGCTATGTTTTTTAAGTACGCTTGATATTACTATAATTTATTGTGTTAATCCTTACACTTATCATTTACATGCAATTATTATCTATTTATGTAAATTAGGCATAACATCGGCTAGGCAAGTGCCCCTTTATGCAAGACATAAAATAGCTCCAGCTGTAAATCCTCCAGGTTTGTCAGCAACGTCCAACATTCCCAACATCGGCGGTCTAGTTCAAAATATGAACGACTTAAGTGCAAAAACTAACATAAACGCTGGTTCTTGCGAATCTTCCAATTATTCTGGAGATATTCCGGATTCTTTGGTACCTGCATGGCCCGCTTGCACTGTTTCACAAAGGGTTAAAAAATTATCTTGGGACGACGACGATAGGGTATTATACTTTTTATGATACTACGCGTTCATTTGTCACTTATATTTGCTTAAATAATTTATATGTTAAAATATCGTTACTCTAACTTATAATACATAACTCTTGATAGATATAAAGAAATAAGAAAACAAAAAATACGCCAACATTATAATATATCACGTTTTTCTTACTTTTAGACAGTGGATAGTGTGGAAGTGACAGCAGAAACAATGTCCAGGAACAGCCAGGTCGGCAACGAACGACTTAATCTTACCGTATACTTTTAATTACCCGAAAAATGGAAGACTGAGACACAAAATGGTTCCAATTACTCCAGTGTCTATCGATAGAAAAATTACCGATAGACTAAACTAAAAAAATAATTCCTTTATAAATAAGTACTGTTAAAATATGCTACACCATTGCCAGATGCTAAACAAATTTAAATAAAATGTACATACAGAATGTATAGTGAACTATGCTAGTAGCAGACGTTTTGCATTAAACAATAATGCAAGTACTTGCATTCTTTATTCGTAATTGTTTCATTAAAAAAGTGCAAAAGTTAAAAGATTATAATGTTTTAATACCTTTAATCTACATTTAACTTGTGTAATGTAGAGAGAATTTTCCAAGTAAGTCGAAACCAACCAATACAAATTTTTATTCGTAAAAGAGACTCGAATAACGGACGATATGTTAAGAAGAAGATGAGTTCCGTGTCAAAGAACTTCAAAGAACCGTGTCAGTAGGACGATCTTTAGAAAATCCCGTATAGCTTGCGATTCTGTTTTTTGGTATGCAATAACAGCAAAAGAATCTCAAGACTTAATCACGCTTTACATTTTGCATCTAAAGTTTAATATTCAATAATTTCCTAGAAATGAATTAATTTAGCACGTTCCTGAATATTCTTGCTTTCTTTCTCACTGTATAATTTCCCCGAGCATTTCTTATCCTTATAGTTAGAAGTTAGATAATTTTTTATAACTTAATGAAAGTGAATTAATTTGCATTTGCAAATTGATATTCGATTAAAGTAATTGCAAAGAAATTATAATTCTATTAAAATAAGATACAAATAAATGTGGGGAAGATGAAAGAATTAATAAGAAGCCACAGCAAAAACATGTCACAGTACCACAGCGAAATCCAGCAAAGAAAGTGACTCATTTTTCCGAAGAGGTGAGAGAAAGTGTCCCGCAGAAGACTGCACAAGCCTTAATTCTCGATAGTCTTACGTGGCTCATGAATGGAAGCGCATCGAACAAGTGAACAACATTCAGGTGGAAAGAAAAATAGCATGATAACAGCTAACAGGACGTCTTTATTTTATGAATATTATGTAAGTGACTTCTTTTCATTACTGCACATTTATTTTAGTTTATCTTAATTTAAGTTTAAATTAATAAAATTAATAATAATTTATTCAGAATTTATCTTTACAATTATAAACATTTACCATTGTAACCTGTTGTAATAAATTCAAGAAATATCATCAATTTATGAAATAGTATTTTGTTAAACACGTAACTACAATTTCTAATTATCGATAATATTTAAAAATTAATTAAAATACACAAGGGGGATAAAGAAATGATTTACATGACGCGTCAATCGTTCCAGTCACCTAAACTTTCTTAAGGAAAGTTGGAGATAGTTTGGTTTACAGTCGAAATAAAAACGTCATACAGCTTTTCTTAATTCTTTCCCTAACCTACTTTCAGGTTTACCGTGAAGAATAAAGTGTCACTTCGGTTGTTTTACACATTATTTTTCCAATTATACATTTATACAGGAATTTCAGGTGTGTGAAAACGATTAATTCATTTATATAAAAATAGATATTTTCTAACAACACTATTCGTGTATTTTTAGGTAATTTATATTCTGTGTCTGCTACAAATTCGCTTAATGTCTCGACAACTGAGTCATTAGGACCATGGAGCGAAATTTTAGAGAACTGGATTATTTCTGACTCGAAATTAGCAAGGATGTCGAAGGTGATGAAACTGGGAGATAAAAGTCTAACTATAACGAGTAAAATATCGTCGCCAAACAAACGAGAAGTTTCTGAAACCGATCTGTATTTACTTGGTAAAAGTCTACATATAAGTATTAATATAATAATTATTCGTATGTTAAGAAATTGCATAAATTGCTTTTTGTTGTATCAAGGTGCGATAGAAAAGCTTGTCTATAGGGTAGATTTTCTGGAAAACCGTCTCAGAAGAGCAGAAGAATTATTATATTATGTGATTTCCGGAAACATAAATAAAAAAGGTAAACTCAAAATTTTCTCTACTCTTTATTTTCATTATAATTTTTGGCTATTAAATAAAATCGTTCTTCGATGACTTTTTTATTATTTTTTCCAGAGCCCTGTCCCACTAATTATACCAAAATTGGTCAGAACTGCTATTACTTCAGTGATCGTGATTTTGATTGGAAATCATCGGCTAGTCTTTGTCGAGGAATAGGCGGCCATTTGTTAGAATTCGACACAAATGACGAAAAACGCAATTTATTAGCTAATTTGCAAACGAATTCTAAATTAAAAGGTAAAATATTTTGGACAGGAGGATTAAATCCAGGCCTCCTTTGGATCTGGGCTAGTAGCGCAAAACCTGTTTACCAAAATACTAAACAAACTGTTCCTGGTGATGGCAGGTGTGATTATTTTTTAAATTAATAATATGTTAACAATTAGACTACTGTTATTATTATCTTTAATTTGGCTAAAAATTTATATTGTTCTGTTTTATTGTACTTTTAGGTGCTTAAAATTGTCCTATAATTCAACGTCCAGATTATATTCTTATCAAAGCGATGATTGTGGTGCGAGACATCGATACGCTTGCAAATTAACTGTAGATGACGAATCAGCAAATAAGATTGAGAAAACGGCAAGAATACTAATGAACAAACAACAATAGGTGCATTGTAGTAATATTTATCTTTTTCTTTAATTCATTTCCTTCAATTATTTATTTATTAATCATTTTTTTTAATAATTCTTCAAAATATTCCTATTCTACATTATACACGTTCATGCATACACTATAAATGTAACAATATACATAATACTGACTCAAATCTGTATAATTAATAATAAAAAAATTAAAAGGAAAAAAAGTAAAGAAAAACATACATAAAGAAATAAACATTCCATTTAGCTGTTATTTAAAGAAATTCAAAGCATTTCTACCAGCTCAGATTATTCAATTTTCAATCATACAAATACAAAATTCTATTTTTTAAGTATCCTCCACATTTCTAAATTAATCATACAACTTTACTCAGAACAATTTTCTCATACTTCTCATATTCCCATGTTTTTTGAAAAAATAACATTAAACAAAGTTTTCTAGTATATTGGTGACTCGTGACAAGGCTTCGTTTCCCCTTGTTTACCATTGCAAGAATATTGTTAGTGTTAATAATTAAACCCCCCTTCTCAGAGATAAATTTTGTTGTATATGCAAGTATGTGGATTTCACGCACATATCGTAAGTGAGACCGTACACATAAATGTGGTTTCCAGCCGATTTTTTTAGAATTGTATCCAATTCCATTAAATCCTTAAAACAAGCCTCCATATATGCGTTTTGTCCCTTACGTATCTAGAAAACAAAGATTAATTGAAATTCTAGGATTTTCTTTGTTTTGAATTTTAAAATATAATGTTCTAGCCTAAAAAATTGAAAATACCTGTTCAAAATTTGGTCTAATTATAAGGTCTTTGTGTAACTCAGCTCCCTATGTATTCAGTAGACAATGTTCAGGACATAAAACTTGATCCAAATAAGGATTTGCAAAAATTACTATATCAAATAGCTTCGCATTTTCTTTTCTCACCTATTCATAACCCTTTCATTTTCTAATCCAAAATTATTTTTATTCAAATTTAAAAAATTTTCAAATATATTTTGTAAGAAAAGAAAAAGAATGCTACAGTTTTTTAGGTAAAAAGTATCCGGTAGCGTCATAGAAAAGTGGGGACTATGAACGAACATGTTAGGTGGAATACCCCCTTAGCCCTCAATCGAAACAGCGGACATCAAGTCAGCAAAGCATAATAAGGTTAGTTTTGAAATACCAACTGTATCATGCATAATAATTTTGACATTTGATTGGTTATCTTGCTTTGATGCTAAGCCATGAAAATTTATTGCGTACCTTTATTTCTTTATATATGAAAACTTCTGTGAAAAATGACTCCAAAACTAATATAAATATTAACTGATTTTTATAACAAAAATATAATATAATAATATTGGGATCTGCTATCACAAGACCATGACTTGTTCTATATATATATACATGTAAGATAATAGATATTTTGTGTATATTATCAACTTTGCAATATATATTTTTTTGTAATGAAATATTTTATTATCATTACTTGATGTATTAATGATAATGTTTATTATCACAAAATTAAAACATTTTCATAGGTCTGCAATTAAAAATTTGAGTAAAAATTCAAATTTGTATAAAAATAATGTAGTATATTTAATAAACATAAATCATAAATTATATTTTTAATAAATAATAACAAAATTAATTTGTGTTTGATACAATTATGATTCAAATTGACATTTAACAAATTAATCTTATTAAGTATAAAAAAACTTAATAGTGACTTCTGTATTTTATTATCAAACACACCAATTTATAAATTTCCATTAAAAATGTTCACTATAAATAAAATCAAATATTTATTTATCATAAATAAAATCCAGTATCTGTCTATCACAAATAAAATCAAAGGTTAAACATCAAGTATCAAAATGTTTGTTATAATATTTCAATACTTAATAAGTTTAATTAAGTTTGTTATAAATGTTATTATTAGACAGATTTGATTAGTCCACTTGAATACATTTCTATTTTCGAGAAAAACGCGAATATTCTTAATAGCAAATAAAGAGAAGTACAGCATTCTAAATGTTTCTAAAGTGAGATAACATTTATCTTCATAATTGCCAAAATATTATTCTGTTGAAATTGTTAAATATAATTATAAAATTTATGATGTTTTGTTTTCATAATGTACATTATATAAAAATTTTGCTTCATGTTAAGATAGTTGAATCTAATTTAGAGCCTGTCTTGTTGCATTAATTTCAGAAGCTAGTTTCTTAATAAAAGGATGTCTGAATTTTCCATTAGTGGAAGAAAAAAATTCCTCCAATTTTCCAGGAATATTATCTCTTTTTTCATATTCATATGCTTGCATAATTAAGTCTAATCTGTCCAGATCTTTAACATATTTTGCTTCTGGAGATTCTTGTTTCTCATATTCCTATAAATAAAAAACAAATAACAATATCAAAAATATAAGCTACCGAGTACAATTCTCTACTAATTCTTCTTACACGGAACATTTCTAGTATTATGAGCCCTTTATCCCCAAGAAGTTCACAAATATTTTCCATTGCTTCATCTTCCCGTTTGTGTTTGATGTCAGGTGGAACTCCACAATGAGGAGTTATATCTCCTACAATACATTCTGCCAAGTCATGAATTAAAGCCATCTGCATGATTCTATAGTTGGTAAAAGAGTATTTTATAAATGTAAGATTCTTATTAATATAAAACTTGAAAATTGATATTCTCAAGTAATATAAATGATACCATTTCATACTTGACTTTGTCTAAATCTTCATTATTATCTACTAGAAAAGCAAGCATAGCCATCCTATACATATGTCCTGCAATTGTTTCTGGATCTGGAATATTACTACGAACCCATCCTGTTCTTTTCATGTGCTAAAATCATACATAAATATATAAAATATAATACAACATGTATTAAAATAAGATAAGAATTTTTATTAATAATAAATAAATAGATAAAGTTTATGAACGTTTTCTTCTATGAACATCTAAAGATGTTTTTAAATTTATATATAATGTTGTACATAATATAGCAATAAGGATAGAAATGCCAAGGATGAAGATTTAACATATGTATAAAACATGATTACACGAGTGCACCAAAATGTACGATTTATATTTGTCACAATGCTACCTTGAAAAATATTTCGATCTCAATGACTTACCTTTAGTCGACCAAGGAGTTCCATAAATTCTTGTAACTTCTTGATGTCCATAATATTTTATTTAAAAGATAAAAAAAATCTAAGCAAAAATTTTTAACTTCGTATTATTAAAACACTGATTTGACTTTGCGAATAACTGTCAAACAATAAATAATGACGGAACGATAACAGAACGGAGATATTATAATTTATTGACTACCTGCACCTTCTGTACTCGAATGACATTCTTAACAATAGAGTGGATACAGCAATGCCCGCTTATATGACCATGATTCATCCCCACCACATTTTAGAACTGTTTGTTCAAGGCGATGCTCGATCTTTATCTATGGGCCTTCTTTTCTAATTTCTCACACTTTATCAAATAAGCGTGAAATTTATCTGTAATTCCTGGAAATATATTCACCGGATATATGACTAAACTTTGCCACTGGCTGATAGCCTTATATACGGGTATTATTGTACATTAACAATAACTAAACTTACTCTCTTTCAATCACTTAAATTCCTAATTCCTTCAATATATTTATTTCAATACATATTAGTCGTATATGTTATACATTTAACTTTTATGTTGTATTATTATTTCTTAAAAGTGAAACTAATTTTTAATTTAAAGATAGAGGAACAAATACAATGATTTATTTATTAATTAAACAAATTCCTCATTATTTTTCATATACTATTATTCACAATCGTTTCTGATTTTGTAAAAAGGACATGTTTACAAAATCGCTTGCATTAAAACGGTGATCAGTTTCAGTTACTTGCGAATGCCGCTTTAACTAAAGAAGAGAACCAAACAATTGAAAACGAACACATCGTTTCAGTCAGCTGACCTGTCTTGTGATAGCAGGCTCGATTGTGAAGCTTGACTCGCTGTTGTGAGCTGAACTTACTTCGATACGTTTCTTGTTTCGTAAGTCTCTTATTGTCACTTATTTCGTTGATTGTAGATTAAACATGTTTCGCTTTAATTCGTTATATAGACAGTGCAATTATAACGATTTCATACTATATTGAGGATACCGGAAATTTTTGCGAAAAAAGGCTGGCACTTATAGTATCGATCGTGCCAGTTTGAATGCGCCATCGTTTTTCGATCAGCGCAAGAATTTGTGCATTTTATTTGATGCCTACGATTATCGGGGATCATTGATTTCGTATATACTTATGCAGGAAATGAATTAAGTCGTTTTATTTCAACGGCAAACACTTCGATTACATTCGACATTCGGTGATTAAGTGAGCAGACGTCTCGCGGGCTTAAAGAGGGCTACGCCTACTTTTTAAATGAACTGCTCACGTGAATTTTAGGATGAATGGATGCATTAGCTGACATCGACTTTTCCACCAATTTTGGTTGTAATTGACTTAGATCGCGTGTAAGAATATTCGATCCAAAATACATTATCCACGATCGTTGTCTTTTATGCTCGTTTTGTCATATTTTTGTCGGTGTGCAATAAGTGCTCTTGATTAGCGTCAGACTAAAATGGCATTAACTTAATTTTCTAATTATGCCTTAAAGATTGAACATAATTTCTTAGAGTTGTTTTACATTGAAATTTATCTTTCCCTGGAATGTTTAACCATATATACTTTGTATTTCATTGTTATAATTTTCTGGTGAAAAATGCAATTAGAAGTGTTAATCTAACTTTTGTTCAATTAAATGTTCATTGTTATGTATATTATTAATATAGTTTTACTTATATTTTATGATACAAAATATTTTCAGATATTTGTTGGTTTTATTTGAGTAACAATTCATAATGACAAGCCAAGGTTTGCCAAAAATTAGTAATGAAGAGAAGGAGAGCAAATTTGGCTATGTATATGCTGTGTCTGGTCCTGGTTAGTATATGATATATATTTTTACTGGGTTTATATTTTTAATATTAATACATAACTTATTCTTTTATAGTGGTGACTGCGGAAAGAATGTCAGGATCAGCTATGTATGAGTTGGTCAGAGTAGGATATTATGAATTAGTTGGAGAAATTATTCGTTTAGAAGGAGACATGGCTACTATTCAAGTATAATAAAACTTTTTTGAACATTTAGAAATTTATCATATTAATTTTACATTATTTATGTATATTATTTGTATGTTTATTTTGTTATAGGTATATGAAGAAACCAGTGGTGTAACTGTAGGTGATCCTGTCTTACGTACTGGAAAGCCATTGTCCGTAGAACTTGGTCCTGGTATTCTTGGCAGTATCTTTGATGGTATACAAAGACCACTGAAGGACATCAATGAATTAACAAGTTCCATTTACATCCCAAAGGGTATTAATATACCAGCTCTATCAAAATCTACTGTTTGGGAATATAATCCTTCTAACATCAAGAATGGTAGTCACATTACCGGTGGAGATTTGTTTGGTGTGGTTTATGAGAACACATTAGTAAAGCATAAAATGATTTTACCCCCTAAAAGTAAAGGAACTGTTACTTATGTTGCACCTCCTGGCAACTATACAGTATCTGTAAGTTGTGTTACTATATAAAAAATTGAATTATTGTAATAATATGTCTGATATATATTTCTTTATCTTATAGGATGTTATTTTGGAAACAGAATTTGATGGTGAAAGACAAAAGTATACTATGCTTCAGGTATATAGATTATTTTTTTGATATCAATATATACATAATAATATGAATTTACTCATATAGGTATGGCCTGTACGTCAACCTCGCCCAGTTACTGAAAAGTTGCCAGCTAATCACCCTTTGCTTACTGGCCAACGAGTTCTAGATTCGCTTTTCCCGTAAGAATATAACTGGTTATTTTTATATACAGTTAATTAACATAAACGTTTATAATATAAATGGAATTGTTGCAGATGTGTTCAAGGTGGCACTACAGCAATTCCGGGTGCTTTTGGTTGTGGTAAAACTGTAATCTCGCAAGCTTTGTCAAAGTATTCAAATTCTGATGTTATCATTTATGTTGGTTGCGGAGAACGTGGTAATGAGATGTCTGAAGTATTGCGAGATTTTCCTAAATTAACAGTAGAAATTGACGGAGTCACTGAGTCCATTATGAAGCGTACAGCTTTAGTTGCTAATACTTCGAACATGCCTGTAGCTGCTCGTGAAGCATCTATTTACACGGGTAAGTATAAATAAAAATAATTGTTAATGAAGAAGAGTAACACAAATGCAACATAATAGTAACATAATTCACTTTTAATATCGTATGTTATAAAGTATTATATATATGGTTAAATATTTCAGGTATTACCCTATCAGAATACTTTAGAGATATGGGTTATAATGTGTCTATGATGGCTGATTCAACATCTCGTTGGGCAGAAGCCCTCCGTGAAATTTCTGGTCGATTGGCTGAAATGCCTGCTGACTCCGGTTATCCTGCCTATCTTGGAGCTCGTTTGGCTAGCTTTTATGAACGTGCAGGAAGGTAATTCTGTTTCTTACCTGCTATAATAATAATATATATTTATATAATATAATAATATACATTTATTTTATCAATCATGTATATTATTAATATTAAATATTATTTGCAGAGTAAAATGTTTAGGTAATCCCGATCGCGAAGGCTCTGTCAGTATAGTGGGTGCTGTATCACCACCAGGTGGTGATTTCTCTGATCCTGTTACAAGTGCAACTCTGGGTATTGTGCAGGTACTATTAAAATTAATATTTATATTTTATCTATTTTTATCCATTTTTTGTATTTTGTTTTTTATTTTTTTATTTATCCATTTTTATTTTTATTTTTTAGGTATTCTGGGGTCTCGACAAGAAACTTGCACAACGTAAACACTTCCCATCCATTAATTGGCTTATTTCATACAGTAAATATCTCCGAGCTTTAGATGATTTCTACGATAAAAATTTTCCGGAATTCGTCCCTTTAAGAACAAAAGTGAAGGAAATCTTACAGGAGGAAGAAGATCTATCAGAAATTGTACAGTTAGTCGGTAAAGCTTCTCTTGCGGAAACGGATAAAATTACTTTAGAGGTTGCGAAACTTCTGAAAGATGATTTCTTACAACAAAACAGGTGCACATTATGATTTTACCATGGGTATTTGTAAGATTGACTACTAATATTAATTCTAACTTCAATTTTTAATGTTCAGCTATTCGCCATATGATCGTTTCTGTCCATTTTATAAAACTGTCGGAATGTTACGAAATATGATTGCATTCTATGATATGGCAAGGCATGCAGTTGAATCTACAGCACAATCAGACAATAAAATAACGTGGAATGTCATTAGGGATAGCATGTACAATATTCTCTATCAATTGAGTTCTATGAAATTCAAGGTAAATATTATTATTGATTATTATTAATTTTATTTATATATTTTAAAATGTATATATATATTTATATTATTATTATTTGTTTTCTTTCATTCTTTTTAGGATCCAGTTCAAGATGGCGAAGCAAAAATCAGAGCCGACTTCGATCAGTTACACGAAGATATTCAACAGGCATTTAGAAATTTAGAAGATTAATTATCAGAAGCATTCATACAAACATAAGTTCTCTATGTTCAGGAACTTTGTGCTGGTCATTTAAGGATGTCCTGGACCTACTGGAGAAAAATATAACGACATTCGTAATCACGTATTAAACACATTAAATTGTTATATTAGTTTCAATAATTGCAGGAAAATTGTATATAAAAAAAGAAAGAGTTACAAATATAAAAGATACTATAATTTTATGTGTATTAACCTAACATTTAAACAAAAATTATACGTGATGGCTTAATCAATAAAATTATAGGACGTCCTTAAATGCATTTTCAGCTTTTACAAATACTTATATATTAAGGACTGTAATGAGTTACTTCAAATCTATGGAATGAAGTTATGTGTAATTAGCTTAAATTGTTGAAAAAAGAAAAGAAAAAAAAATGAAATGTCTGTCGAATCAAGCTTCCAATTATTTAATTTGCTACAATTGGAACTTAATCATAGAAGGATCTGTGTAAAGGAACTTTTGTATGTATGTAAAATGAGAGTAAAGATATTGTAAGAAGCTTTCTATTCATCCACACGAATTGGTTTCTCAAATAAAAAGAAAATAATTGCTTTGTATTTTATTGTAGCATAGGATGATGTGGTAGCTTTTTACATAGGAATGAAACTTTAATTACAAGTATTAAATATTGTATTATAATAGTGTATTATGTAAACATGTTAAGTGACGAATGCAGACGTTACATAAAAGTAGATATTATCTTAAATGTTGAAACCTTTAAAATATGATTTGAAAGTATAAACAAAAAAGTGTTAAAGTGTTAAAACTGTCCAGGTGCAGGGTGTCTTTTATCGTTAAAAGGAAAGTATAAAGAAATATGCATCGCAAACAGTGTTCCAGTAACTTCGACATTTCCATTGTATCATATGTAAAAAAAAATAAACATTATGGATAAAAAATTAAACAAACTTCATTCAAGATTGTTAATCATTAAATAAAAATAACAATATATTTCAGTAAATTTCATTTTAATAATAATAATATAATATAACAATAACCTTCGCGGTATGTACATCAACGATATATTACAAACCAGTAGTTCATTTTTCAATTATTCTGACGTATTTTTATAGCGCTCAGAATTCTAGGTTGAAAAAAATATGTTTATTGCTATATGCGTACGTATATGTATATGTACACATACGTGTATATATACATATATAAATATACATACACATCCATACGTGTACGGTTAGTCTATATTACATTCTCAGTTCCTAGATCATTTTCTTTTACGAAGTACCTACTCTACACTCGTGAAAACAGTATTAAAAATAAAAAATATTTAACGATCTCTGTAAAGATTCAGTCGTCATACTTTGTATCGCAATTTTCTTGTTTCTGTTGCAACAAAATGTTCTCTTTGCTTTTCGTTTGAAATTAACTTTGGCTACATTATTTAAAATTAGATGTCCGAAAGTTCCAAATTAATGCTCAATATTCACAGCCTTGGCTCGTTCAATGTACACGAGGTAATTCGATCCAATGCACATGCATACATAAAAATAAAATTCTTCTTTTTGGTAGGTCCTATAAGGAATAGTCTTTGACTTTACTAATATTCAATAATTAACAATTGATATCCATGGTATATTCGTGAATACATCATCAAAATCATAACGTTTCAACAGACTTAAACAAATAATTTGATAAACAAAAAATTAAACTATAATTTAGCCATAAAGAGAATGATGTATTCATATCGCGTTATTTAAACTAACTAATAGCGGTGTAAAAGTATACAAAGTTATGACGGTATTTATAATCATACCATTAGGACCGTGCAGTATATTTCGAACAACGTAATTTCAATATGACAAAATTTGATATGGCTTCCATGAAACCAAAAATTATAAGAGTAAATACTTCTTCTGACTATTGAGTCAGGTCATATATCCTAATATTTACAAAAAAAACACTGTATTACAAACTAACAATTTTTTAAGGACTCAAATGAACAACGTCAACGTTCGGTCCCGTGGAGGATGAAATTTGTGACCTGAGTTGAAAATTCTCACGTTTCAATTGTGTAACGAGTTGCTTTAAAGCAGTTATTTCCTGTCGTAGTTTTTCGTTATCGCGTAAACAGTGTCCTAATCCCTGATTGGCTGCTCTTAATTCTGTTATATATTCACAGGCTTTTGATAAAATTCCTCCTTTGCTCTGCACAAGACATTCATGGATATAATACTACTTTTACATATGTTTTTATAATTATACATTTTATAAATTCCAATTTATTACCTGAGTTTCATAATTTGCTTTTCCTTCACCACTGCCACTACCACTACCATTTGCACCTGCATTACATTCAGGAATAATTTTTCCTAACTTTGCAATCCAGTTATTTATTTTATCTCTTCGTCTGCGTTCTACTTCATTGTGAGTGGCTCTTCTCCTATCATCTCTCTAAGATATATATTACAAATTAAATAGAACAACAAAAAAAGAAAAAAGAAAAGAAAAAGTTTACCTTTTTCAGAACAGTAGTACAATTTCTTGGTGTTTCTATCTGTAGAGTAGTTGTCCTGGGAACCAATGATCTAGAAGTTTGCGCAGTTGTGAAAACATCATTAGCATTTCCAATAACATAAAACTGGCCATTTAACGGGGATGTTAGGACCTGTACAGTATTATTTCCTGGTTGGGTAACTGGCAGTTCTATTTCATTGCCAGCAGTAGTGCCATTTACTTGGACTACTCTGTATGCAAGAGCTTCTTGGTAACGCATTCCATCTTCCCCAACAGTTTCTCCTGTAAGGGATTTACAATTCGAGTTTTTGCATATTAATAGATATTAGTAAATAAAATTAAATTTTAATCACATATAATTTAAAAATCATTAACTTTTAAAATATAAATATCTCTGAATTTATGACAAGCATATATTTACCTTCGCAGTCCACGATTTCTGCTTCCTCAATAACAATTCCTGTGCCGCCATCATCCTTCGCGTTAACAGTGCTGTAAAACAAGCGTAAGTACGTTGAAGAATGGATATGTAACTTATCTATAGAGTTACGTCTATGCCTATTACTTCCACGACCGTTGTCCTAAGTCTTGTAAGTGCGCACTGTGCACTACGTGATGACCTTGAGGAGACCTCGAGCGAAACAGGAGGGATAGGTGTTCGCATTATCAGCCAGTCGATATTTAACATAAACACTACCTGACATCCTGCTGTTCGAGATGCTGCTCCAAAATATCCATTTTTTTTCTATCAAAAACGTTTGAATTTGTCAAAATTCACGTGAGCTGGTCACGGGACACGGCAACGAGGTCATGTGGTGCACAAGATGGCGATTCCTGATTACAACGCCACCTTACGCTGTTTAAATTTATGATTTTAAATTTTCCAAGTATACCGATTACTGATAATTAAAATTCTCAATAAGGAATTATTCATGGAACTATTACATGAGTTTTGTTATATCAAAAACAAGATTTCTAATATAAATAAATCTTTTTAATAATCATGATAGTTGGCAATAATATTAATTAATAAAATAATTGTAAGATATTATTGAGTAATATACAAACATAAAAAATAAAATTAAAACAAAATCAAAGGTACATTTGTTTACTGAAATATCTATTTCATGCATCGATTTATCATAGGCTAACACCTATGTCTGAACAAACACTTAATCTATACACAGTGATATTACGTAATTTATAGTCTCAAATAGTACTCTCTCTACTAACATTAATTGTGGTGGGGCTGAACTAGCTTGTTAATCGTTTACAATTTAATAATAGTGGAAAACTTTTTCTAAATAATTATTACTTGCAAAATTACCTATAAAAGTATAATTATAAACCCATGAACAGTTATTTTCCTTACAAAATTTAAAACAATTACGTAATATTTCTAACTTTAAAATACAATATAAGATGAAAATCTTGAAATTTCATTTTTAGTTAATGATAATGAACAATTATCCATTTCTATTAATAAAATAAATTTAGCTAGTAAAAATAATGTATATGTATATTATATATTTATATTAAATATACGTATGCATACTATGTGCACACACGCGCCGTGCACGTCACTAACGCATGCACGTGCACGACCTACACACACACCACGCGCGCGCTCGCATACACACATACACCTATATTTATATAGAATTAATGAAAAATTATATCTTAACAATAAAGGTATTATTGTATTATATCTTAAAACAGTAACGTCATGCACTAATTACTATTATATTGGAAACATCAAACCAATATAATAGGAATCTTAAACAAATAATTCTTCCTGTTCATCTAAATTTAGATGAAAAAAGTACTTTCGTTTCACATTTTTAGAACATATTTGAAAATTTGAAAGTCATTCCAAGGATCGCTGTAAATACGAATAGCAGGAACTGCAACGTATCCTGCAATAGTTTGATTGGTCAACGAAATAGAGTTCATCATGGAGTACGTCGGTACGTACTAACTTGACGATTTTTCATAGTTTTTATTAGGAATTTCCAATTAATTAATATCTTTTATTATCATTTTTATGTCTGTTTTTGACTATTTTAAATATAATTTATATTTACTTTTCAAAAAATCATATTGTGAAATATTCAGCAAGCAATTGTACATGTTAAATTAATTTCGTGAAAACGATCATTATTTTTGCGAAAACTTTGTATACATTTGATTTTAAATTATTAAAAGGATATGCCATTTAACATTAGCAAATTTTATCGATGAATTGCATTTTTCTCTGTACTCTTGTAAATTGTGTCATTTAAAACATAACCTTGTCATTTATACAATTTTTCCTTTTGTAATTAATTCACTTTCTAAATTTTTACCATTATCTCAATTTGCTAATTGTTTATTTAAACGAGAAACTATATTTTTTATCATATGAAATTATATTATATTTTACACAATGAAATAAATATTTGTACTTATAGTAGTACAACGATACAAGTATCTTATACATTACAGATGCTGCAAAAAGTGAAAGCAACGACAACTCTTGTAACTCAACTTCTTGTGCTGAATTAGTATCAAACACAAACTCTAATGAAAATTCATTGGTAGAAACAAAGGACTCAACATCAAAACATGAGAGTCAAGATATACAAAAAGGAGATAATAACATTGCAACTACCTCGCAAGACCGACCCCAAGAGAATATAGACTTTAAAGTGATTTATAATAAACAGAGGATTAATGTAAATTTTCCACTTGATGGCACAGTGGCAGAATTAAAGGTTCATCTTCAAAATATCATATCTGTGCCACAAGCTATGCAAAAAGTTATGATCAAAGGATTAGCCAAAGATGAACAAACACTTAGAAGTTTAGGTGTCACAAAAGGTAATTTTTATAATAAAATAAAATGTTTTCTCCTAAACTGATATACACTAAATATCCAATATATGTTCTAATATATCAAAATAATTTTAAGGTGCCAAAGTCATGGTTGTAGGATCAAAATTAGATGATGTATTAGCCATTTCAATTCCAACAAAACAGGATTTATCAGATGAAGCAGCTTCTACCACAAATAAAGAACCTTTATCTCAACAGAAAATGCATAGAAAAGTATTAGATAAAGGTATGCCAGATGATGTGATGCCTGGTATATTAGATAGTAAGGTATGGTTTATTTACATTAATAAAAATAATATTTGTTAATAAATTATATATTAATTTAATCTCTTTATATTTTAGGAACTTCTACCAGAATTTCCATTGGCTGGTATGTTAAATAAATCTGGTGGTAAGGTGAGATTAACATTTAAATTGGAGCAAGATCAGCTTTGGATTGGTACAAAAGAAAGAACAGATAAAATACCTATGAATTCCATAAAAGGTGTACACAGTGAACCGATACATGATCACCCAGAATATCATATTATGGTTTGTATTTTAACATGAAGTAGATTTATTCTATTCAAATCATTTTATAATCTGGTTAGAAGAACTTTCAATTTTTTACTAGTAATAAGTTAGTCAAGCTTGATATATGTAATATTGAAAACGTATAATTTACATAAAGATTTTCTAAAAAATTAGGCTATACAACTAGGTACAACTGAAGCTTCGAGATACTGGATATATTGGGTTCCTGCACAATACATATCGGCTATAAAAGATGCTATTCTCGGCAAGTGGTGCTACTTCTGATCAAACATTGATGGAAATTTCTATCTCTTCAAAAACAAAGCGTAATCAGGTGTAAGCATTGATACAAACACGACTGTACTAGTCACACATTTTTAACAGTAAGTAATAACTTATTTTGCGTTGGATAATAACTGATATGTTCTAATAAAAGTATTCTCTTAAGGAAATTTTCTTAGATAATTATTAATTTTGTTAAAAATGATGACAAAGTTATTTTATATATATTAACACATATTCAAACTGATATATTGATTTTAAGAGCATAATTTCAGATAAAATATTTATACAATATTGCGATTTCTGGATTATTGAAATTTTTTTACTATATTGAAATAATACTGTAATTGTAACCTTAATTTCTTTGAATTTCATTGTATGTAAGATTTGTAAATATAATAAGTTTTTTTAATTCTTAAAAAAATACGTATATATTCAAAAAAACATTTTACTACCTTAGGAAAAAAAATTGTCATTTAAATGAACAGATTAAAAAAATTTAACTTTTCTGTTTATTTAAATAGGAACGCTTGAATCTTTAAAATAAAAGTGAAATATTTGTAAAATTACATTTATAGGAGGAAATGAAGAAAGAAGTTATGATGTTGCATTTACAATCTTTTGAAGTTCGTCGAGAAATAATTCAACTTTTTACTACATTTAACAATATTAAATAATAAATTATAATAGTTTAGATATTCAAACGAATTGTTTTAAATTTTATTTTTATAATTACGGTTTATGTTTAGTAATGAAATCGACTTTATAAATGTTATGTTTTAAAACAAATTTGTTGCAAATTGATTTGATAAAACAAAAATAAAAGGGTACGAATTATAAACAATATTCAAGTTGCAATAAGCTAAGTTATTATCAAGAAATATAGTCCGCATTTTACATGAATGAAAAAAATGCAATTTAGTACAATGATCTGTTCGATTACGAAACAACGAACTTGTCAAAATACATTTGCACACGTCTTGATATTGGCCTACATTACTATGTAAATCAGGCTTTGCCCTGACTTACTACATATAAATAAAAATTGTCCAGAAGAATACAAATGGTCTCGAAATTTCGCTGTGCACTGGAATTCAAGTGAACTGTATATCTCGACGAGCGTAAGTTAAATTACTACGTAACGTTAGTATTATAACTGCTGTAAATTAGATTTTATACTGTATAACATGTACAACTGAAGATATGAGGATTCGGAAAACGACAAATCAAACTTGTATCTACCGTAATATCTACATGGAATTCATAACTATTTGCACATTCGAGAACTATTTCAATGTCCATTTAAGACAAGACTTGTACATCATGTTGTGTGATTTGATAAAAATAAACAATTTTAAGTCTTTATTGTATTGCATTTATTTAATTACGTTCTTATATTAATTACATTAAAATATTTTAAGATATTTAGATATATAATATCTAAGTACTGTATGTAATGTATATATTATATATATTTCGATATTTAATTAATTCAAACAATTTCTGTGGATAATGTATACTAAATCGTTTTGAAGTTTTCATGACAAGTGCTATTAGATTTCTTACTCACTAATTACGAAATATCTACACAGATTCACTCACAGTTGTTCGCTGTATAAGCAGGAAACTTTCTATTAAGGATTTAAATTACTTAAAATTGAATAAGTTGTCTTGTAATGTTTGCTCTATTTGATGTAAAAGAATATAAAAATCACTGAAAACATTTTATATGAATTAGAAAATAATTATATCTATTTTACAAATGATATATACTTTACGATGAAATGAAGTAGTTCAAGGTTTAATGCATTGTTGTGTGTGTGTATGTATTAAAGCTACATGTTTCGTGTAAATTTATTTGTACCATATATCGTCATTTGAATCAACGTTATCTCGTTATTTTTTTCGCCGTTGTAAATCGTTATTTTTACGCAAATAATGAAAAGTCATATAAATTTGATATTGTTAATACGAATATGTTTCTAACCAATATGTAATGAATATTTTTGACACAATCGGATAATGTTTCCTCCGTTACATAAAAACTTTGCTTAACAAACGAAGTGTAATTATTGAATTAAGCAAAGTATCAGAAGCAAGAAATAAACAGAAAAATAATTAATTTTATCATACATTTATTTTTAATGAGGAGATTAATGTTGTCATTAATTTGAAATATGATTAACTAAAATATAAGCATACAGGTACTAACAATGAATTATTAATGAAGTCGATAATGAAAATAAAACATATAAATATTAATGGTTACTTAAATTTAAATTAGATCTATAAATATTTGCCAATACTATTAATCATGGAAAAGAATGATAATATTTTAGAAGATATACAAGAAGCATTTCTAGCTTTAACTGAGAGCTTCCTGGAACAAGGTGTATCACTAGTAGACCTTAAATCTGCCAGTGTAAGAAATAATGCGAAAAATAAAAGAAGTCATATTTTACATCATGTTTGTTCTAAAAAGGTTCTACTTGCCTTATTAACACCAATATTTTGCAGTATACTTTTTAAATATTTATGTATTGATATAATCAGAAGCATTCGTGGAACTAGATGCTTAATACCAAATAATTATTTCATATGGGAATTTACAAGACCAATATCAAATTGTGATTATTGTCAAAATGTTACTTCAGCATTAACTTTGCCAAACTTAACAAGGGAAGAATTTGAGCAATATGCTTATTCTTCTAGACCTATGGTGATAAAACATGCTGCAAGTCATTGGCCAGCTGCAAAGGTATTTAGCTGGAAATTCTTCAAAGATTTGTATGAGAATATTGATGGCGCTTATGATTCAGTAGATGAATGTCAATTTTTGCATTTCAAAAGTAATCTCACCAATTTGCGTGATGTTTTTGCAATGAGTGAAGAAAGAGCTATACAACATAATGGTCAAGATCCTTGGTATGTTGGTTGGAAAAATTGTCACCTGCAGATTTTGGATATTATGAAACAGTACTATAATCTACCTCATTTTTTACCAGAAGATGCAGAGATTCCTTATTCCAATTACATCTTTTTAGGATATGAAGAAGGTGCTATAATGCATGTATGTATACTATTAATACTAATTACAATAATGATGATGATGATGATAATAACAACAACAACAACAACAATAATATACGAATTTGTTCTTAATTACTGTTTAATTAATTACAGATTTTATCTCTTTTTACAGCTAGATTATATTTCACGTCTAATGTGGCAAGGGCAAATTATAGGTAATAAAACATGGAGTGTTGCACCTACTCCAGAATGTGATAATGTTTGTGTGCCTTTTAATTTTACTGTTTATGCTGGAGATATTGTTCTACTAGATACAAGAATTTGGTATCATAGCACTTATGTCAAAGGAGGAAACTTTAGCTTAACAGTCACCTCAGAATATGGATAGACTTTTATACATTGTAAAATTGTATGTGTATAATTTTACAGGCTATATAAATAGTATTCTATGGAATTAATAATTTTTATATTTCAGAATTAGAAGATTTAGAAGCTCTTGCCTTATTACTGTATTATATTAATGCCTCATTGAATTTTTATAAAGTTTTTATGCCCACAAAAACTTCAATATTATAGGACATGCTATTAAGGAGTAGCATTGCATTATTTATGTATGAAATTATCTAATACAATACTTAAAGGTGCCATTTTTAATGAAAGATACATATATGTTTACTATAATTATCTAATACATAGATTACAATATATAAAAAGCATAATTTTGCAATACATTAGATTTATTAAAATTATTACAAATCATTAAGTTATATGCAATTTTTGAATATGTATAAATTAATATATATATTGTTTTTGCCATAGTCAAACATTAGTCCAAATGACTCATTTTTTGGATACTATTAGCAGCACAAATTAAATAATTTGATCTGTAATTTAATTAAATATGAATTTGAAAATTATTTTTGTATTCATATATTTGGATTTATATATATAAGCATTTGAAGCATGTATTATAGGCTTTCACAGAATATTTTACTTCCAATGAAAAAAAGATACATACAGTTAAATATGTGACTAACGACATTTTGTACAAATTCAATACATAAATTTTCCTCGAGGTGATTTAATCGTTATTTATTTTATATTTAATTATATATGTATGTACATGTACAAATATATTCACCCTATAATTTTTAATAAAATATATGAATATAAATAACACGATTTCGATGTGATTTTTTTCTCCATGTTCATATGCAGTAACTTTTATTTTATATATTCATTTAATTGCATAAAACACAACAATAGACCTTTTTCTTTTTATAGATCATGTATACAGTTTACATAATAAGTATAAATACTCGTGTACTTTGAAGCATAAAAGTACAATATATAGTGTTATATTAAAAAATTGTGAATAGCATAAGAAAGATAGAAATATTGTTTTCATTTAATTACACACACCAAAACGACAATATAGCAGAACCTAAAGTGGAATGCATATACCTGTTGCTATGCAGTACAGCATATTATACATATAATACTAATTGAACAGTGTTGATATTTCATCATCATTTTCAGACTTCAAGAATGCACTTCTACTGGTCCTTCTTCTCTGTTGCCTGTTGAAAACTTGGTGGACTTTCCTAAGAAATATACAAATAATATTTAAACTATTAATTTCTGAGTCCCAAATAATATTTTCTACTTTTTTAATAGAAGTCTTACTTACATAATACGCAGGAGGTGGGACATAGGCACACTGTGGTCTATTTGGATCATAATATGCACTTTGAGCAGCTTCTGCTGCTTTTGCATCTGTAAAAAATAAAAAGAATGACACAAATATATAATAAAAATACCAAATTTTAATTTGAAAAAATAATTATATTTACGAAAAATTACCTACATTTGTACATGTTTGATGTAGTGAATTTAAATTGAGCTGGCATTTTTTATTTTTATAAAAAATATTTAGGCGAATTAAATATTTAAATATTCCTGATTTATTAAGTCAGTTTCATTTATTTTATAATAGTATTAATAAATTTTGTCATAAGAATGAAATTATTAAGAAAATTGCTTTTAATATTTTAATATAAATCTTGAAATATTCGGTTTAAAAGATTAATGAACTAATGCAATTCTCCAAGCAGTAATGGAGTAGAGATATTTTGTGACAGAATACCTTGATTAAATGAGTCATTGATTGTGCTAAAAATTTAACTTTTTTTTCGTGTTATTTTAACGAAAAAGAAATAAAATTAACAAATGATGCACTTCTTAAGTAATTTATACGAATTAAAAGTGATTTACAACTTATAATAACACTTTATGTATTTTTGAACTATCTCTGACAACTATGAGATAATAACTGAGCATAGTGAAAGTCAACCTTACTCCAGGTCAACCAAACCTGTTGCGCAATAATATTGCATAATATTCAAAACCTTAAAGATTGTCAAATGAAATAGAAAATATGATATTATTATTTCATTGTTTCGATGAAAAAATTTATATGATTTTTATAATGGAGCAATATTTCAAATTGGTGGGTTTAAATAAAAACAGCAAGTCATATTTGGCTAAATTTTAATAACATAATATGTTTTTGTATTGTAATGATTATCACAAAGCTATAATGTAATAATAGCAACAAAAATATAACGCTTTAATATACAATAATAACTGATAAAGAAAAAGGAAATGTTTAAAAATAATTCAATACTCATTGCAACGTGTATGTTACATCATGTGATTTTTGTATATGTTATAAAGAATAATACAATATATAAGTGTACTCGTGTTTTTCTTTTTGCGCTTTTAACAATTGATATATAGAATTTCATTTATTATAATTTATTTTAAAGATTACTTCAAAAATTTAATCATTATTCACATAAAGTGTGATATGAACATGCATACATAAAAGATGTAGCCTCATACATTTTACAATTAGTAATTGGAGGGATAGGGATGGTAAGGATTTTGTTGCGGATAATAGCCAGATTGTGCATAATTATTACCTTGAGAATATGGAGTATATGATGGAGGATTTTGTGGATAATTGTTATATGCTGGCTGTCCATAGTTTGGATACGCACCTGCTTGGGACATTGGTTGGGCATTATAACTTGGATTAGCCCATCCAGGTGCTCCATTTTGTTGAGGTGGTGTCCAACCAGATTGTTGACTGGAACTACCCCATGCACCTTCTGATGGTGCATTTGCATATCCTTGATAAGGTGTATTTATACCAGGATATGGAGGTGGCATATCGGTCATATATACAGTGTTTGCTATACAATACAAATTTACATTTTTGATGTGTATGAAGCATTAAAAAATCAGACTGAAAAGGTGTTTATAACACTAAAAAGATGTTAGAGAAATAATTAACCTGGTGGTGCATCTGAAAATGCATCATTGCGTGGTAACCAACCATAATAACCAGTTGGTGCTGCTTGATAAGCAGGTGGTGGTGCTGCATACCAATTTGACGTTGGTGGTTGATATGGTGGTGGATCATCATTTGCAGGTCCATTACGTTGAGCTAGAAATAAATATTATAATGCTAAAGATAAGATAATAAACATTGTTCTACATGATAATTTATATAAGTAAAAATAATATTTATATAACATCAAAATAACAAGGAAATACTAATAAGTTTATATAATTACAATTATTTGTAATAAACTTACCCATTGCTGCTGCTCTTACCATAGCCCCACCAAATTCTATTGCACCACCACTTTTGAAATTCAATTTAAATTTGCATTCTCCAATCCAATTGCCATTAGGTTGAGCCCGGCATTTACCTTTGATGTAATTAGCACCAAACATTGGTTGCTCTATTTCAACCTCTCTCAGTGTTACAAATGGGAAGCTAAACGATTGCATCTTTTCTTTCTGATCTTTAGCATTAAAAATCATTCTGTGTGTAGTCAAACATAAACTACCACGTTTGGTACCAATAAATTCTGCTTGTTCTTGTCCATGGAATTCCACGGTGACATTGTCACAGTATAATAGCATGCTAAATAAATAAAAATTTTATTTGTTTATATCATATTGATTACGGAATAGAAAAAATTAAAATGTCAGTGATTTTGTTCATTTTAAAAATTTGTTAAGAAGTTTAAATTCATTTCATAGATATTTTATAAAGGGGTAATGTTTAGAAAAATGTTTATTGATGAAAAGGAAGTTACATTCGGAAGGCCACGGCAATAACTATAACTACGTTGTAGAAACGTCATAAGCAAGAACATGTGAAAGAATGATGACACTCCTAAAACTGGCAAATGCATTTTATAACTTACCGTTCTCCAGCGTGTATTAGAACGCCGCCGTTCGCGTGCGCTGTGTTTAACGACATACTTTTTTAACTTTTTCTCCAATACTGTTGAAATTTCCAGCAACAATCCTTCTTCATCAGCTGATTCATAAGTGATAAGTATGACGCAGTGCGCAAGCGCGTTTATCTCGATACAATATATTTAACGATATAGTACATACTATATATAGTCAATTCACGTTTCACCTAAAAACGTAACTAAATTAAAATCCTTTTGTAGGTTTATTAAAAATATTTTAATAAATATTTAAGATTGAAATGTATGTAAATCATTCTACTAAAATGTGATATACAAATATTGGCGATTATTAATATTATCAACAGTATTATTGCGATAAAGAATAACTGACATGTATATAGCATCTCTGTGTACATATCGCGAAAATATCTCTTAATTGCGATTTATTGTAATTCTCCAGACTGAATTATTATAAATAGCATTGAAATTTTCTCATAAAAACTTATAAATATTGAAATGTTCAATTGAAAAAGTAAATATAAATTATTTTATTTAAATTTCGCGGCAAAATGGGAAGAAGAGATGCGAATGCGCACGCAGAAATCAATGCCGCAAATTTTCAAAGCATGCGCTAGTACACGAAGTCAATCACGTCTGTACTACGCGTAAAGAAATAAATAAGGCAGTGATCAGGTGCAATTAACCGTTTGGCAGGAAGTGCGTAGTGCAGCGAAATTGATCGATCTTTTTAAGTAAAAGTCGCTAGTTGAAACTATTTCGAAACGATGAAATCATAAGACAGTTAGCCAGCCAATTCATTCTGTTTTTCATTCTTAAAACGCATCCACCACGGCAAACATGGATGAAAACTTGAGTCGGGGCTATGTGCAGTTAGGAAAAGCGAAAGGAATGAACGAATTTAAATTCTCCAATGGATTCACACATTTGTCCCCACCGGTTGACAAATACAATTTCATCTACATCGCCCTTATGCTAGGCGGTATAGGATTCCTCTTGCCGTACAACAGGTCACGCCGCAATCAGAAACTATATTTCTTCATATGTCGACAATTGAATGTCAAAGACCTCTGTGCCTGTAATTTACGCTCTTCTCCTGAAAGTAGAATCAATCGTGTGATATGCACTTAAGCATGCAGATGTTGAATACAAAAAATCCTTTATATTTTAACTTTCATATAT